TATATTTTATTTTTGTTTTTTGATCAAGCTCATATATCTTATCATATGTAATATATTGTAGTAAATTATTATAACTAAAAAATTGTGTTGTATTTAATTTTCTTTCACTAATTACTACATATTTTCTAAAGATACAGTGTTTGTCGGGTCGCTACATAATCAACTTAAATCACTCAAACCCACCATGCCATACATTTTATTCCAATTTTTTGTGATAAAATAATATATAATTGACTAAATAAACATCCTCTAAAGTTTCAATAAAAAATTTCAAGTTTTTCTCACAATTTCCGTGATTTTTATTCAATTTTTATCAATATCAATATTTCCTTGATATTTACATCGATATATCCGTGTTTTTGGACCACCGATATTTCCGAAACTCTTGATATTTTAGACCTTGGTTCCACTACATTTCACTTCGTCTTTGACATTACAAGATATTTCCTTCTCTTTCTCTTCTTTCTCTACCTTTAATTTAGCTTCTTCCTCAGCTTTCTTGCTTGCTTCTTCCTCTACCTTCACTCTTGCCTCCACCCTAGCAGCCTCAAGAGCTTCAATCAAGAGTCTGCATCCTCTGTATCAGATTTAGGCATCAAATTCTCAGCAACATCAGCCGAGGTCATATCGGTTTCCCCAGCAAATGCTCGATGGATCCAAACAACTCATGTGATTCTACATCCAAATAATTCATGGCAAGCACTTTGAATGCTTCATACACTAGCGGAACTAGCAACAAGGCTACCATGGGCTCTAACCCAGGCAGAGACGGTCCCACGTCCAAACTAACCTGGGCTGTAGCCTAGGTGAATTGAAATTTTGCAACCTAAAATAATCCCACTGCCCATGATCACCATATAGCATCCAAATAAAATACCATTAGTCAAAAACATAATTGATACCCCATATTTCTCACCAATAAAAAAAAAGGGCTTGTCCAATATAGATCCCTACATTTTCTATTTCCTAGACATATACCCATCAGTATATAAATCTATGTGTAAAACCCAATTCAAATTTAAATGACCAGTAGGATATAAGAGGTCATAGTATTCCTATGTTTTTACATCGTTGCCACCAAACTTCATATTTTATTTATAATTTATTTCAAGCATTTCATTAACTGCCATAATTGTAATTAATACTCCCTATTAATAGCATCAGTCCTGATTTCTTGGACCACAGGTCTAAGAGATTCTGGTCACTCACCGTTGGATATTAATCCAATGGTTTAAAAAAGTTTCTTAAAAGGAGTGCAAGATCAAGTGAACCGTTGAATTTACATCCAACGGTGAGTGACCACAAATCTCCTAGACCCCTGTAGTCCAAGAGATCGGAACTATTAATAGCATATCAATCACCCCATTTCTTTTGGTTGTCATTCCCTCTCATATATCGCCCCCTAAAATTGCAAACCAAAAAAAAAATTCTGTAAATTACATATCCAATAATGTACCTATGAAAAATATAAATATAAATATATACGTATACAAATATGAATATATTATTTAAATAAAATATAGGTATATTATTTACCAAAAAAATTTTAAAAAAAACTAAGTCAGTTACTTTGTAATTGAAATTTTCGTACATTTTTCAGAAATTAAAAATAGGTACCCAATAATTTATAGAAAATATAAGTACATTATTTACCCATAGGTTCTTTATAGAAAACAAATAATAGTTACTTTATTCAGAGAAAAAAAAGGTACATTATTTAGAGAAAAAATTAGGTACATTATTTAGAGAAAAAATAGATTCATTTAAAAAAAATGTTTCTCATCAAACAAACAATAAATAGATTATCAAAATACTTTTCAACATAATTAGAATGTACACTATTATTCATAAAACTATAATAAAATAGATTACTAGTAGTATAATTCATAAAATGAAAGCAACAACAAAAAATTATTAAATAAACCAAAACGTTAATCACATGTAGATTACTAATACGTTAATGTAGAATTTACTATTTAATTTCAAATAAGTTTCTAAATTAATTCCTACATCCACTACAACCATTTGAAAATCAATCCAAATTCAACGTGTGTCATTAGTTACACCCTCACATAACACGTTAACTTGTAAATATGGATAGTTTTGGAATCCAAAAAATAGAATAAATCATATTTTAAGCTAGACTAGGTAACTTACTTACTTGGATCCTAGTTATCGGGTTTTATTTGAAAAAATTGGGTATTTTAAATAGAAAAATAAAAAAAAGGGTTGTATGTCATTAAAAATGATTTTTATGGGTCTAAGCTCAATTTACTATAAAAAGAAAAAAAAATACAAACTAACTCCACACCACAGGGGAACACCCCTAATACAAACTAATATCATTTCATTCTCTCTTGCTGAGTTACCCAACCCCTGCTCTTTGAGACTTCGACCAAAGAGAAAATCAAAATTCCATGTCGCTGCTGCTGCACGCCAAAGATCACCCATGTTCTTGAAGACTTACTTAAAGCAAACTAAGGTAATCTTCAATCCTTCATTTTCTTTAATTTTCTTCTTTAAATTTGTTGATGTTGAAATTTTGGAGATTAATTAGGGTTTATGAAGTATAATTAGGGATTTACAATTGAGTTGACATTCTATACTACTTGATTGATAGATTGATCTGTTTGGTACTAACTCTTTCTGTGTCTACAGCAACAACGCAATGAGCATTTTCATGTATGAGACTTATTAAAAATCGACTTCAGAACAAGATAGGTGATGAGTTTCTTGCTGACAGTATGTTACTTCATATTGAAAGAGAATTTATTGATAATATAGATAATGAATCAATAACTAGTGATTTTAACTCTGTGAAAACTTGAAGAGTGCAACTTATATAAGTATTATTTGTATTTGTATTTTGCATTGTATGTTTATTTCTTGTTGTTGTCTTTTTTTTTCCCTTATTAGTTTCTATCTACATGTACTATGCATTTTGAGGGGTAAGGCTCATTATGTCCCCCCGTGTAATTTTTTTGCTATCAATGAAATGCACTTGTACTGTCGAGTTTTCTATAGGTTTGTACGTAAGGTAAATTTAGCCCGTGACATTTTGAAATCTTGGGTCCGTTCTTGAGCCCAGGTAGTCTTTAAAAAAAATTTAAAATATGCTATATGTATTTTAATATGATTTTAGTAGTCCACCCAAATGCCTAGTAACCCACCATTATCCATTCAACTTTGTAGGTCTATAATCATCTTATATTTAAATTGTTTGCTTATTTAAGAAACATAATCTCTTAATAAACACTCATAACTTTCTACCTTTTACTATTTTCTCCCACTGTTTCCTTCGTCAATATTCATGTTAACAGTCATCATATCACCCTTTACAATTAACTAGCAAGGTTGATATAATTTAATGTATACTTTTATTTCTAGAAACACTATAGAAACTGTAAGTACAAAAAAAAAAAAAATAATAATAATGATTTGATTTTAAGTCAATAAGTTTAGCTAGCCCACCCGTTGAAAAATTCATGATTCCGCCCTTGTCTTCATAGCAACAATAGGACAACTGAATATGCTTGTCCATTCTTCCCCTTCTAATGAGAGCAGGGTCAATTTTGTCCACATAGTTAGTGGTGAACACAACCAGTCTCTCCCCTCCACAAGCTGACCAAATCTCATCAGTAAAGTTCAACAGTCCAGACAAAGTGACCTTGCTCGTTGTGGCTTCTTCTTCTTCAGGCCTTTTAGGAATTGGGTCCTTTTCATCCCCATCTTTCTCTCTCCTTCTCTTCCTTCTTTTTCTTTCGATGTCCGGTAATATCAAGCGAGCAATCAATGTCCTCGATCACAATAATCGCCTTGCCAGTATGTCGATCAACATCTTCCTCAGCTCGGTGTTGTCCTTGACAGCAGTTAATTCGAGATCATAGACATCATAGTGTTGAAGAATACACGCAGTCCCACATCGGAAACTTAACAAAATAGAAAGTCTCATATAATGAATGGCTCCACTCCTAATAATATCGAGGCTTTTTGTATTAAAACTCACTGCTAAACAGGTGGTTAAGTTGTGGACAATATCGATGTTGCTGGGTCAAGGGTTTGTCCCTCTGAAATCTTAACATATAGTTCATGAGGTTAGACATGGTAGACTTGCCCATGCCCGGTGGCTCGTAAAGGAGATATCCACACTTCCAAGCCTTGCCAATTTTCTTGTAGTGGTCTTTCCCTTTGCTGAACTTAAGGAGATCATTGATGATCGCTTGCTTCTCTTTTGGGTCCATTGCCAAGGTCTCAAATGTTGCAGGGTGCTCAAACACCATATGGCTCCACTTAGCCTCCAATCTTGGATCCAAGATGAGCAAACTTGTCTGCTGGAACCATGTTTGCAACTTTTCCGGTTCTTTCTTGGCCTCTGTATCTTCTTGTTTTTCCGAGACGATGTATGTATCTATGTATGTTACCATTTGTATACTTGGGGGTGAAGATTATTTTAGTATATTTTATTGGAAAAGGCCTTGGTGTGAGTCGGTATTGATTATTCTGTGTGAATACCATCAAACATTTCTGGTCCAAAATTGACTGGTAGATTTTGTCTCAAGACGTGGACTCGTTTTCTTGTTCGATGGGTTAAGTAAGCGAAATGGAAATTATTTATTCCGTGACATCATTAATTAACATCATATAACAATGATCTCACAATCCTCTAGCTCAGCATCATACACATTCTAGCTAAGCAGTTTGCTTTCAGTTTGAATTATAGTCAACGGAAATTTGGAAAAGAAAATGCCTCTTTGATCTCATGAGATTCTCCAATAAGTATTTTATGTTAATGATTGCTTACATATTTCTAATCTCGACTGTTGGATTGAAGGTATGTTTCATAAAAACATGTAACCAATCATTAATGTAAATACTTATTGTAGAATAATTCCCTTGATCCTAAAGTAAATCATGAACCAAAATGTTTGGCAAGTAAGAAGGAAATATCAATAAGTAGACACAGTTAAAAGAAGGAAAAAACAGTTGTTGCAACTTAAAGCTTAACATGAAATTAAAATGGATATAGACAGAATATTTTACAACTCCATTGAACGATTCTTTTTACACATAAAGAAAAACACAGATTGATCAGGGCAGATTTTTTTCTTATTACAATATGTACAGAAAGGTTGAAATTATATACATACTTTCACTGGTTTCATCTGATGTTCCATTCATTTTGCATCTTCTTCTTTAGTTGATGTTCCGTTACATTTCACTTCATCTTTAGCAGGCTGCTGTTTCTCCTTCTCTTCTTTCTCTGCCTTGAGTTTTGCTTCTTCCTCTGCCTTCTTACTTGCTTCTTCTTCCTCAGCCTTCTTTCTTGCCTCCTCCTTTGCAGTCTCAAGAGCTTCAATCAATTTCTTCAAGCAAGAGTCTGCATTCTCTGTAACAGATTTGGGCATCAAATTCTCTGCAACATCAGCAGGAATCATATTGGTTTCCCCCAACAAACGCTCAATGGTTTCGAACAATTCATGCGACTCTAAATCCAAATAGTTCCTGGCAAGCACTTTGAATGCTTCATAGCAGCAGTAGGACAACTCTATGTGCTTGTCCATCCTTCCTCTTCTTATGAGAGCAGGATCAAGTTTGTCCACATAATTAGTGGTAAACACAATCAGCCTTTCCCCTCCACAAGCTGACCAAATCCCATCAATAAAGTTCAACAGCCCAGAAAGAGTAACCTTGCTTGGTTGGCTCTCTTCTTTTTCCATCTTTTTCTTAACTGGATCGTTTTCTTCATTCTCCTCCTCATCCTTCTCCTTTTTCTTCTTCCGCTGACCTGTAAGATCAAGCGAGCAATCAATGTCCTCGATCACGATAATAGACTTACTAGGCGTGTCAATCAGTAGCTTCCTCAGCTCTGTGTTATCCTTCACCGTGGTTAATTCAAGATCATAGACGTCGTAGTCCATGAGGTTCGACATAGCAGCAATCATGGTAGACTTTCCAGTGCCTGGTGGCCCATAAAGAAGATAGCCGCGCTTCCAAGCCTTGCCGATTTTCGCATAGTACTCTTTCCCCTTGCTGAACTTGATGAGGTCATTGACAATCTCTTCCTTCTTTTTGGGGTGCAAGCCCAAGGTCTCAAATGTTGCCGGGTGCTCAAAGACTACATGGCTCCATATTTTCCCTCTGTATGTATACCAATTCCGGGAAGGATTGTTGATGTAAAGCTTCCGTTGCCTATTTCCCACTGTTATTGCCTTCCCCTCTTTGATGACATGAGCAAGATAAGCCCCTGTGACGACATCTCGGTGGCGTCTGTGGAAGGTGAGCTTATAATGCTTCTTCTCATCAGACTGAGGATAGAAAGAAAATGAAGTCTGTCGAGGCTCTCTTTTTATCAAAACCCACCAAAGTTTAATGCCTTGAAATTCATCCGTCACTTCTTCATTGTCGTCCACGCCAAGGACCAGAGACTTGCTGTCTTTGACATCGTGAGCTTTTAGGCGTCTTGCACTTGTCGAAGACTTGGTGCTGAGGTAGCTTTGGATGGCAGAATAGACTTCGCTGCGTTTGCGAAACTCGGTGGTGTACTCATCAAAGGTGATTTGGATGTAAGGGTAGAAAAGTTTCACTAATTTGTGGCTATATTTATCAACATAGTAGCGAAGTTGAGGGGGAAGGTATTGTCGAAAAATAGTGCACACAAACATCACACTGGCAATCACTGAACCCAGTTGAGGCCCCATTTCTCCCATCCTCATCATCATCTTTTCTTTTGGAAATAAACCCTTGAAGGTCAGGTTTGTTCTTGCTACATTGAAACACAAGGTTTGGTTTATATACAGCCACAACAGGGCAGAATTACAACAGTCTATTTTCTTGGAAACTAAGTTACTAAGACCCACAAGCTTCCAAGTCTTTTCTTTACTATATTTTATTGATTAAAAGAAACCAAGAGGAAGCTCGCTTGATTGATCGTAGGAAGCCCACCAAATCTGACGACCAAACAACAACTATTTCCACAAGTCACTGTCATGACGAACTACTGATGCAAAAGCATAGCCCTTCCTTCCCCCTTTGCTGGTTAGTATGCAGAAAAAGAATCTGGCGAATATGCATAGCAATTACGCCAAATATAGACAAAGGAAAAAGAATCTCGTATCGCATGTCTAAGACTAATGTATAGGAAACTTCTGATTGGATTGTAATACCAGCTGAGATCATGGAAGACCAATCTTACATGGAAAGATGCAGATTCGTTGCATGGTTTCTTTCTTTTTTGACTCTGTTGACTAGCTGCTCCAGGGTGCTCCCAAAGAGAGGCGATTTAGGTGATGCCAAATAAAATTACATACAGATGGGCACTGTACTATAAATTAAAACAAAAAAACAATTGAAAAAGGTGAGTTTTTAAAAAAAATGTTATCAACTACGTTTGCAAAGAGTGCACAAGTTTGAATCTCCCTCTCTGATGATAAAAAATAAAATTAAAAATGTTAGGCGTGCTACTAAACTCCGAAAAAACTTCAGTAAATAAGGATGAAAATTGATAAAGCACATACAAAAGTAATGAACATAGAATTGACATCTTTCATATGACATAAGGACTACACGTCACATATCTTCAAGAGGTAATGGCCGAATGCCTTGTTCAAGGGGCATAACTTCTTCACGGGGTCACACCATTTTCTTTGACTTCTGCAACTGATGTTCCTTTCACTTCATCTTTTGTTCCGTTACATGTCACTTCATCTTTACCATTAGCAGATTTTTCCTTCTCTTTCTCTGCCTTCAATTTTGCTTCTTCCTCTGCTTTCTTGCTCGCTTCTTCCTCTGCCTTCACTCTTGCCTCCACCTTAGCAGCCTCAAGAGCTTCAATCAAGCTCTTCAAACAAGAGTCTGCATCCTCTGTATCAGATTTAGGCATCAAATTCTCAGCAACATCAGCCGGGGTCATATCGGTTTCCCCCAACAAACGCTCGATGGTTCCAAACAACTCATGTGATTCTACATCCAAATAATTCCTTGCAAGCACTTTGAATGCTTCAAAGCAACAGTAGGACAGCTGAATATGCTTGTCCATCCTTCCCCTTCTAATGAGAGCAGGATCAAGTTTGTCCACATAGTTTGTGGTGAACACAATCAGTCTCTCCCCTCCACAAGCTGACCAAATCCCATCAATAAAGTTCAACAGTCCAGACAGAGTGACCTTGCTCGTTGTGGCTTCTTCTTCTTCAGGCCTTTTAGGAATTGGGTCCTTTTCATCCCCATCTTTCTTCTCCTTCTCTTCCTTCTTCTTCTTTCGCTGTCCTGTCAGATCAAGCGAGCAATCAATGTCCTCGATCACGATAATCGCCTTACCAGTTATGTCAATCAACAGCTTCCTCAGCTCGGTGTTGTCCTTGACAGCAGTTAACTCAAGATCATAGACATCATAGTTCATGAGGTTAGACATGGCAGAGATCATGGTAGACTTGCCGGTGCCCGGTGGCCCGTATAGGAGATATCCACGCTTCCAAGCCTTACCAATCTTCTTGTAGTAGTCTTTCCCCTTGCTGAACTTAAGGAGATCATTGATAATTGACTGCTTCTCTTTTGGCTCCATTGCCAAGGTCTCAAATGTTGCAGGGTGCTCAAACACTACATGGCTCCACTTAGCCCCCTTCTCAGTATTGTTGATGTAAAGCTTGCGCTGCCTATTGCTCACTGCAATTGCCTTCCCTTCTTGCCTCACATGGTCAAGATAAGACCCCATGACCAAATCCCTGTGGCGTCTGTGGAAGGTCAGCTTGTAGTGCTTCCTCTCGTCATACTCGGGATAGAAAGAGAAAGATGTCTTTTTAGACGCACTTTTCATTGAAGCCCACCAGAGCTTGATGCCCTGAAACTCATCGGTGACCTCTTCGTTGTCATCCATGCCGAGAACAAGGGCCGTGCTGCCCTTGACATCATGAGCCTTGAGCCGTTTTGCTCGTGTGGAGGACTTGGTGCTGAGGTAGCTTTGAATGGAGGCATAGACTTCGCTGCGTTTGTGAAACTCATTGGTGTATTCGTCAAAGGAGATTTGGATGTAAGGGTACACATAGCCCACCAGTTTTTTGGTGTATTTGTCAAGGATGTTGCCAAGATCGTCTGGGAAGAATTGTTTGAACATGGCATAGACAAACATCATGCTGGCCATCACTGAGCCCAGCTGAGCCCATATTTCCCCCATCTTCATCATCTTTCTCCTCTGCACTGACACTGACAAATTGTAGAAATTGATAAATAAATAAAGAAGTAGCTGTTTTTCAAACCAAAAAAAAAAAAAAAAAGTAGTTGTTTCCTTTTTGCTATCTATGACACCGACGAAATTGTATTTATATGAGGAAGAGAAAGTTTCTGTCGGTGATCAAGACAGATAGCAGCCCCTCGTGCCTCACCAAAACTCAATTTCGTTCAAGCTTCCACTCAATTGCCTTCACATCTCAGCGGCAGCCTACCATGTTTGACCATCGCAAAAGTTACTGCAAATATCACCCTCAGAACATTAAGCTGTGGTACAGTGGTAGCTGTGGAAATTACACCACCACATGCGATGATAAATTCATCCATCCATGGTAGATTCTCCGCAGACATCAATTGTGAAGTCTCAGTACTTAATTTTATGATTTGTCTGCGGTCCATTCAATTCAGTTGCATATCTTCCAAACGAAAATTCTACCATGCACCAAACAATATCAACCTTTTTGACCCAAAATAAAACAATATGGACCTTTGAATGACTGGTTGGTGGATGTGAACTAATCCACACCATTGATCCAGTTTAGTACTGTTGTGTTGAGAAAATAATCGCTTGCTTATTGCTTGTGTAGGTTAAATTTTTTAATGAAAAGAAAAACAAAAAAAATAGCTGGAACGTGAAACACCTTCCACTGCTGCTCTCACTCTCTCTGTTCCACTTGCTCCCACTCTCTTTTCTTCACGTTGGGTTTCTTGGTTCGAACGCCCCTTCAACAATTAGAGTCAATTAGAGTTCGGGTCAAATATGGGTCCATTTACCATGAAATCAATATTAGTGCTCGGTCTTCGTTTGGTAATTTTCATTATCAATTTTATAACTTTATTATGTTTCTAATTGGTCATTTTCAGTATGAGCAAATTACATCTTGGAATTGAGAAATTTATGAGTGAGTTGTTGTTATGGATTGTGGTGTGTAAAATTGTGTAATGTTGGTTGTGGGGACTTGAAGAAAATGTTGGTTGGACCACGAGTTTGCATCATCAAGATCAGAAGCTCATATCCAAAGACATGGAGATGCGACCAAATGCATAGATGGAGAAGGCTTACTTTAAAGAAAGGTGCGCAACCTTTTCGGAAAGCCACCTAAATCTCAATTTCTCAACAAACAAAAAATTGTCAATTTCTCATAAGAATATGAGAATTGTTATATTTTGTTGGGTTAAATATCTTTTTTGTAATCAAGTTTTACAAAAAATTTCAAATTGGTCACTATATTACCCAAACTTTACAATTTATAGACATTCCATTAACTTCCTTTAAGTGGCTCACGTGCATGACACGTGTAGAGCCCTTAATGACGGAATCTAGAGAAGTAAAGAGTTTAACCCTGAACCCTATAGAGTCGTTAACGGTTGAATCAAGAGGAACATTTTTTTGCGAGTTATTTACACTAACACCTTTTCATTGATTTTTAGTCCAAAGAGTGATGATTTTATACAAAAAAAATTCTCCAAATGACAAAGTTGGCATTTGAAATTAGATTTCATATACATTCATTGAGGTTAATTATGCCATTTGCATTATTAAAAAAAAAATTCAATGAAATCATCAATTTTTGGATGAACAATCAACGAAAAAGGGGTTTTGTGAAAACAAACTTAAACCTTAGGAAGTGTTTGTGTAATTTTTGAGACCTGAGGAGGTTTTGTGAAAACACAAAAAAACCTCAAGGGGTTTTAGTGTAAATAAATATTCTTTTGGATCTTAAATCCCCCAATATTCACAAATTCTAGTTAAATATGAGACTAACAAACAATTACTAATAAGTTGGTTGACTATATTTTTTCTTTTTCTCATATAGAGATTGTGGGAGATCAAATAGCACTTTTGAGGCACAAGTTGTACCAAAACTGCAAGATCTCAAGGAGGAAATTGCAAGTCTCTGTGGAACAAGAGGCACTAGATTAATGGGCGTGTCCCAAATAAGATTAAAATGCTGATATGGCGGGCAAGCTCCAAAATATTGCCAACTGCTGTCAATTTGTTCAAGCAGAGGGTGATTTCATCTCAGGTCTGTTCAAGGCAGGGAAAATATTATGAGGATGCTTGTCATGCCGTTTGGTTCTGCAAACTGAGTAGGAAATTCTGGAGGTCTACTAATGATGGGCTACAAAAGTTTCACTCGTTTTGTGGTTGCACTTGCAAGTGACAATCCAGAAGTTGTATATATGCTCAAGGGAAGAATGGACAGGTGAAGCAATGCAGGAGGAAGTTGAGTGGTTATGCTCCTTCTCTTGGGGCGCTGTCTCCTTCTCTAAGCTGTGGCAATGTTGTGTGCTTTGCTCGGTCTGTTTGCACTGATATTACTTGCTATATATGCTCTGTTTTATCTTTGTGTTGGCTTCTCTTGAATTGGGGTTGTTCTGGCCTAGTGATTGATATTAGTTTGGTTGGATCCCTCTGAGTAGGGTGTTGTTTATCACCAATTTTCTGTAATTGCCATGTTCATTAATGAATACCCCCTATTGTCTATAGTTGACATCTTTCATATGACACATAAAGACTACAAGTCACATCTTCAAGAGGTAACGGCCTAATGCCTTGTTCAATGGGCAAAATGACTTCTTCACGGGGTCACACCATTTTCTTTTACCTCTGTAACTGGTGTTCCTTTCACTTTATCTTTTGTTCCATTACATTTCACATCATCGTTAGAATTACCAGATTTTTCCTTCTCTTTCTCTTCCTTGTCTGCCTTCAATTTTGCTTCTTCCTCTGCTTTCTTGCTTGCTTCTTCCTCTGCCTTCACTCTTGCCTCCACCTTAGCAGCCTCGAGTGCTTCAATCAAGCTCTTTAAACAAGAGTCTGCATCCTCTGTATCAGATTTGAGCATCAAATTCTCAGCAACATCAGCCGGGGTCATATCGGTTTCCCCCAACAAACGCTCGATGGTTCCAAACAACTCATGTGATTCTACATCCAAATAATTCCTTGCAAGCACTTTGAATGCTCCAAAGCAACAGTAGGACAGCTGAATATGCTTGTCCATTCTTCCTCTTCTAATGAGAGCAGGATCAAGTTTGTCCACATAGTTTGTGGTAAACACAATCAGTCTCTCCCCTCCACAAGCTGACCAAATCCCATCAATAAAGTTGAGCAGCCCAGACAGAGTGACCTTGCTTGTTGTGGTTTCTTCTTCTTCAGGCTTTTTAGGAATTGGGTCCTTTTCATCCCCATCTTTTTCCTCCTCTTGCTTCTTCTTCTTTCGTTGTCCGGTCAGATCAAGCGAGCAATCAATGTCCTCGATCACGATAATCGCCTTACCAGTTATGTCAATCAACAGCTTTCTCAGCTCGGTGTTGTCCTTGACAGCCGTCAACTCGAGATCATAGACATCATAGTTCATGAGATTAGACATGGCAGAGATCATGGTAGACTTGCCGGTGCCCGGTGGCCCATAGAGAAGATATCCACGCTTCCAAGCCTTGCCAATTTTCTTGTAGTAGTCTTTCCCCTTACTGAACTTCATGAGATCATTGATGATCGCTTGCTTCTCTTTCGGGTCCATTGCCAAGGTCTCAAATGTTGCAGGGTGCTCAAACACTACGTGGCTCCACTTGGCACCCTTCCCTGTATTGTTGATGTAAAGCTTGCGCTGCCTATTGCTCACTGCAATTGCCTTCCCTTCCTGCCTCACATGGTCAAGATAAGACCCCATCACAATATCCCTGTGGCGTCTGTGAAAGGTCAACTTGTACTGCTTCCTCTCTTCATACTCAGGATAGAAAGAGAAAGATGACTTTTTGGACGCACTTTTCATTGAAACCCACCAGAGCTTGATGCCCTGAAACTCATCGGTGACCTCTTCGTTGTCGTCCATGCCGAGAACAAGGGCCTTGCTGCCCTTTACATCGTGAGCCTTGAGACGTTTTGCTCTGGTGGAGGACTTGGTGCTGAGGTAGCTTTGGATGGACGAATAAACTTCGCTGCGTCTTAAAAACTCAACGGTGTATTCATCAAAGGATATTTGGATATAAGGGTAGACATAACCCACCAATTTTTGGGTATATTTTTCAAGGATGTTGCCAAGATCGTCTGGGAAGAATTGTTTGAACATGGCATAAGCAAACATCATGCTGGCCATCACCGAGCCCAGCTGTGTCCACAGTTCCCCCATCTTCATCATCTTCCTCCACTGCACTGTTTGTTGAAATTGATTAAGGAAACAAGGACTGGTTTTCTTTTTGCTGATACACAGACGAATTCGTATTTATATAAGGAAGAAGAGAAGGTTTGTCTTGGTGATCAAGAAAGATGACTCATGGTGCAAACAAAATAAAACGCACTCTATGTCAAAGAAAAATGAGTTTCCTTTCAACCTTCCACCAATAAATTTCAATTTTAGAAAGAATCTTTCCCAGCCAACCATGTTTGACCATTCTAAAGGTTACTTACTCCCATTATTTTAATCTATTAACTATTGAAACAATGTCCTCCACCATTTCCCCCCTCACGTCTAGTTTGTGCATTTTAGCCGACTTCCGATTAAAATAGCTAGAAAGTGAGTATAACAAACCACTTAAAAGGTATTTTCTCCAGTAATATTCTCTATTCTCTCACTTTCGGGAGTGTTGGAAGCGGATGGTCTTCTAGGACCACCAAATAAATGTTTCTTATCTATATTTTGTACTAAGTTAGCCTCTCCACTCGCTTGCTTTGGCTGAGTGTGTGCTGGCCTAGTTTGTGTGTTTCTGTTTGTGGCTGATGCCTCTTAATGAAATTCCTTTTCGTCCAAAAAAAAACCTCATCTTTAGCAGGATTTTCATTCTTTTTAGCCAAATAACTACAAAGTATTAACACCAGTATCATTAAACTATTGTCAGATAGCAACGTAACGATATCCAACCACATTATTCAAAGGGTATTGGTCCGTGTTCTGGTGAAATTTCTGCCATCCAATCTTAGAGTAAAAGATTAAACCTGTGGCAAGAAATAGCAAGGCCCAAGAAATTACTTTCGAATTGTTCTAATCCTGATACCGTCTGTTCTTGTGTGTGAAAACAGAATGTACGTCTCATGGCATGTCCCAAATGGTAAAGGCAGCAACGCTGCTCCACAAGGCGATGGAATATGAGACCGCCCCGTAACGGAGGAGCTCCCTCCCACGAATGGGACGGAGGACCGGTCGACATTACATGGCTTGCTTTGTGACGCTTACTTGGGAATCTACACTCATAATTACTTCTTGCTCCCATTCAAAAGCATGAGAATTCGAGATAGAAATCTCACGTCACATTACATACAGATGAAAATCTTTGAACTTTTTTAACAAAATTGAAAACAGTTTCTTGAAATCAATAAATTCTGCTCAGAATACTTGAATTTTAATTCTCATTGATTGTGAAATCTCTGAAGTCTGACATGTGATATTTATCCAGAATTCATCACTGCAGAATAACAAATAAATAAAGAAAAAGCATGAAAAAAAAAACACAAAAACTTTTAGCAGCCAACTCTCATACATTCTCTAGAAGTTTCTCCGGTCATGTAATAATCGGAATAGCGTATATTGCCCTTTTCAGGCAGGTAATCACAGAGCAAGCACTAAAAAGCAGGACAATTTTCAAAAACTTCAAATTAAATTTAGCGTATGTATAAAAGAGCGATCAGAGTTGGTTAAGGTTTGTCGGTCACGGTTAAATCAGAAACACGGACCAATAAGTTCCTCATCATATCACATGAAAACTAAAATCTTGGAAATTAAAAAACAAAATTCATGAATATAAATAATAAAAAATTGGTGAAGATGAAAGAACGAAACAAATCATCAGAGACTTAAATACAAAGAATCATGGAAATTGGAGCGTATCCATCATATTGTTGCAGTTTTTTTCTCATCAGCTGATTTGAAATTCAATTCTCAGAAAAGGAAAACCGGAGGACAGAGGAGAAAAGAGATTTTTTGTGTGTGCTTGTGCGCGGATGTTGAAACCAAACCCTAAATCGAAAAGAAGAAGACGATGTTTCTGAATTCTACAAGCGCGTATTTATATAGGTCTATTGGCTGAGGTTTCGAAACCCTAATGCGAAGGTTCTCGATTTGGATATGGGCCTCGTGCACTTCAAACATATTCGCACTGTCAAAGCCCGTATCTATACCTGTAAGGTCCACAAGTGAACACAAACAATAACAACATTATTTGGGTCTTGGCTCTTCATTTACTTTTTATATTTATTTATCGAAAAGTAAAGATAATTCTAACTTGAGACCTCTTTTAATATTTAGAGAGAAATACCATTAAACTACGAACATAATTGGTTTGGAGCCTTAGCTCTTCACCCTAAAAAATTCAGAGAGGTTTTTATAAATCAAGGAGGGTGGATTTTGAATTTGGGACATCTTCAATATTGGGAAGATAAGTACATGTAGGCTAATAATTCGGAAATGCTATAATGAGGGGGTTGTGGGTGGGGTTCAATCCCACTATCCAATAAGAGAGAGAAAATATTGGACTTAAAACTTTTTTAATGATTGAATTGAACCTCCCTACCAAAATCCCCCTCATTGTAGCATCTCCCGCAATAGTTAGTTAGTAAATGTGAAAAAATTGAGAATTAAGTGAAGATAAACATAACAATTAAAGCGAGGATTCCGACTTGTTCAATAGTTACATGAGGAACACTATTATATTGTATACAAATCCAATTTCAAAGTCCAAATTTAGCAAAACCATTGCAATGAAAAGCAATAATTATACTCCACCCAAAAGAAAAACTATACTGATACAATGAAAATTACATTTTATTCAAATGCGAAACTCGCTTGATTACCACAAATGAAGCAAACTAGTCTATATGGAGGTATAGGCACCGGTGCCCCAGCCTGAAGGACAAAAGGTGATCACATACTCACTTGACTTGCAAGTCACCAATGGAGGGGGTGAATCATAAGCATAGCTATAATAAGAAGGGCAAGCATCTTTGAATATCTTTGAGTACACACTTGGCTTGCATTTTGCTGGGGTTCCATACTCATTCCTACAACAAAACGGGTCAGTGTTAAAAGCCAAGCAAGCACTTTTGCAAGCCACCACTTCCCCCTTGCAGTTTAAGACCTTCAGTTCTTCTGGGCACCAACTTTTCAAATTCTTCAAACACCCTCCAATGCCACAATTAGATGCTACTGGCTTTGACAAGACTGCAACAGGAAGATTGTATCCATCAACCAAGCTCACATCATAGAAATTTGGCCTGTCTTTGTCACCTTGAAGCGAAACTTGCACTAATGTCACTGGTGGAGTGCCTATTAGTCCATTGCATGCTAAGCGCCCATCACAGTCTCCTGTTTCACAAGCAGGATTCCTGTTTGAGGCAAAGTTGCATCCAGTTCGGGCCCAAATCCGACCGTTCCATGACCAAGGGGCAGAAATGCGCTGAGTCTGACCGGCCGGGAGATAGAAGCCGCCATCAGCTATCACTGGCTGTCCATTGTTGGGGGCAGTTGCTGGCCATATGGGGAAGGGGCACTTATTGCGTATGTCAAATGTAACTGTATGTGCCATTCCATGTCCTGCAATATGATTTATGATTTAGTGCCAGTGTACAATAAAGTTCAGGGGCAATGTTGACATTAAAAAATATGAATCTACTTTAACTAACAGAAGCTATGGAAACAAAACATATTATTTCTATGAAATTACCGAATAACAGAAAATTCCACATTAGGAACAGAAAGAAAACAGCAACAAAATCTGGGAGATTCATGGTTCGGATGCATTCGGGTGAAATGCAATGTTTAGATGCTACATTTATAGGTGAAGTGAAGGCTAAACTGTGCTTCTTCTTAGATTGTACTTCAAGTTTTGATGTGGACAATCTTTGGAGACAATTAATAGAGGATCTGGGTTACGTTGGCCCTTAAGCAACAAACTTGAAATGCCATTTGGGAATTGACCACTTCTGTTGACAATCATGAAAATGAATGCAATGTCTGATTGCTTTTGCGGAGGAAAATCACCAATAGTAGGCCACATGTAAAACATCAGATGGTAAGTAATTATCAGCAGGCAAATTAAGCAGAAAATAAAACATCTGTAACACTAAACTCCCGACTTTAAGGCCACCCTTTCCTAGAAGAGAAATCAGAAACGTAAAGCTTCACAACAATTGGACAATGAGTCAATTATGATGAAAGACTAGTGTAATATAAACTTTCAGATAATCATCAGGGCAATTAATGTATCAGTTTTCGTGCATTGTTTATTCTTTCCAGATAATGGTTATGGTTACGACAACAATGGTAATATTTCTTCCTCTTTTTATAACAAAATAATAAATGAGTTGCTAATTGTGGTCTCTGCAATGATTTTCACATATCCAAAATTCAAAATTGCATCTTTTTAGTAAATCTACACTCATATACATGGAAAAAAAAGCCATTATAGTCCAGAGGGTGGATTGCCATACCTTCTCTTTCTCCTGCCAAATTTAGATGATGGAAATATCCAATGGAATCAACACTGCATCAATTACACTAAGCAAATTTGCTGTCCACCGTTTCAGCAAATACAATGTACTAATGAGAGGACAAGTTTCCCAGTTGATGCCCCCCCACCCACCAACCCAAAACTTGATCTTTTGGTGTTTTTATCAGATTACACCAAAAACTCAAACCAGAGCAACGCCATAACGGTATTGGCTGAGGGGGTTTGTACTTTAAACTATGTTTGCTTTGCACTTTTGCTCATTAGAAAAATCTGAAAGGCTTTTGTCGTCCTCGTAAACAGGGATTCTCTTCTCTCTCTCTCTCTCTCTTTCTCTCTCATCTCCTCTGTGTTTGTTTTTGTCTCCAAGCTGTAACATTTTCTGGGACAGAGAGTAAGAAATGGAATCAGACCCCAACCCAGTCATTGGGTCTCTCACCACCCCGTTCCTCCCACACTCACACTCTCATTTCAAATTTGAATACTGTTTTAATTATTCAGCCTCTTTTGGGTCCCTATGCTCAGCTCTCTTCGCGCCCGCGTCTCTCTCGCCCTCTCTTTGACCACCTCGGTCACACCCCATCTCCCACCTTGACCACCAACCCCCATTTTTAACCACATCCTTTTCTCTTTGAACTTTTACCAAACACTTCATCTGCAATCTCTCAACGATGGACAAACCAGCCAATACCGTCGAAACCCATGACAGTGAATCTGTCATCAGCAGCCTCCAAGATCTTAGCTTAAAAAACAGTTTCAGTATCAGCATGTGTAGCAGCACCGTTTCTGGGTCTGATAACAGCGTGAGTAGCAGCACCAAGGTCAGCAATGGGACTCAGGAAGCTAACAAGAACTCTGAAAATGCTGAGTCCTCCATCGTAGATTGCGAAGACGATAGTGACAAAAGCACTCTATGCCAGGCGGGTAATTCCAGCAGGTTCGATCCGAATGAGGGCAGTTTTCGGAGCTTTTGCCCATCGAAGCCGCACAAAGGTAACGACATGCGATGGGATGCGATACAATGCGTGAAAGCCAAATATGGGGACTTGGGTCTGGGCCATTTCAGGCTTCTGAAAAAGCTCGGCTGTGGGGATATAGGAAGCGTGTACTTGGCTGAGTTGAGAGGGTTTGGTTGCCTTTTCGCCATGAAGGTAATGGACAGAGGCATGTTGGCTGGGAGGAAGAAGCTGATAAGAGCTCAGACTGAGAGAGACATATTGGGTTTGTTGGACCATCCATTTCTTCCAACCCTCTATTCGAATTTTGAGACGGAGAAGTTTTCTTGCTTGTTAATGGAGTTTTGCTGTGGTGGGGATCTTCATACGCTTCGGCAGCGCCAGCCGGGGAAGCATTTTACTGAACAAGCTGCGAGGTTAGTGCTAATTGTTCATATCTACCCACTACGTTGTAACCTAAGTCTTAGCCGAATGTTATATAGTAAAAGTGAACTCTTTTAGCTCAGCTATTGCAGCTTAGCAGATTATATATGATTTTATTTTGTTTTTTTGTTCTACTTTATGATAAAGATGGGCTCTGTTTTTGTTCTACTTTGTGATGGAGATGGGCTCTGTTTTGTTGGCACAGGGGAAAAGCTATCTCCTTCCAATCTGTATTATAATTTTGCATTCAAAGTTTAGGACTTTCATTAACTCTTTTTGATTGAAACTTTGATGGGTAGCATTTTATTTAGTCAAGTTTTTAATGTGGGACCTATATTCTTATGCACCATCATCGCTGTGGACTGTCCCCATATTATTATGTTGAAAAGTAAATTAGGTTTTTGATAGTTTCATTATCTTTTGCAGGTTTTATGCTTCAGAAGTGCTCCTTGCACTTGAGTATCTTCACATGATGGGAGTGGTGTACCGGGACCTAAAACCCGAAAATGTGCTGGTGAGGCAGGATGGTCATATCATGCTCTCTGATTTTGATTTATCATTAAGATGTTATGTGAATCCTACTCTTGTTCAGTCTAGTGATGAGCCATCTTGTAGAATCTCTTCATACTGTATTCAGCCTTCATGTATTTTGGACCCAGCCTGCAAATTACCAGTTTGTGTTCAGCCTTCTTGCTTGCAACCATCTTGCTTTAAGCCTCGATTTCTAAGATCCAAATCAACCAAGGAGAAAAGTGAAAGATCAAGTTTGGGAAATTCAGATTCATTGCCTGTACTTATTGCTGAGCCAACTAATGCCCGCTCTATGTCATTCGTCGGAACACATGAATATTTAGCTCCTGAAATAATAAGAGGCGATGGCCATGGTAGTGCTGTTGATTGGTGGACATTTGGTATTTTCTTGTATGAGCTACTGCATGGGAGGACACCATTCAAAGGCAATGGAAACCGGGAGACCCTATTCAACGTGGTTGGTCAGTCTCTCAAGTTTCCAGATGGGTCTAATGCCAGTTTTGCTGCTAAGGATTTGATCAGGGGCCTGCTTGTAAAGAACCCACAGAAGAGACTGGGATTTAAAAGAGGTGCTACAGAAATTAAACAGCATCCCTTCTTTGCAAATGTTAATTGGGCTCTCATTCGCAGCACACACCCTCCAGAGATCCCAAAACCATTTGATCTTGCTGTTCTTAATCACACATTCAAGTCAGCAGTGCCTCAAAATGACAAGGGAGCTACCGACTCGAACCGGTCATCAGGTCCATATTTAGATTTTGAATTTTTCTGATGAATTTTGATGGGAAAGGAAACGATTTCTAGCAATCATTCTTGTGACGTTCTTGGCGCTTACTCATGTTCTCAATGAATCTTTTCTTCACATGATTATTTCATTTAAACCATTGCATAGTATGTTTCTTACACAATTGTTTAGCATCAAGCATGTTTGCCTCTTCTAATATATAATTGAACAATTAAAAACGACCATGAAAAAGAATTGTAGGGTATAGACCCTTCCCTTGCTGTCGTCTGTTCTTTGTCCTGGGAGGTTCTTAAGGTGGCCTTCTGGCTATTGGTGGTGTGGTGGTGGGATGGTCTCAGACGCTTTTCCAGATTCTCTTTTCTTGTTTATATGCTGCAGTCTGAATGACCTGAAAAATGCCTGCAACTTTACCTGGAAATGCACTTTTGAAAAAGAAAATTGTGACATGGACAGTACAGAAAATACGAACGAACCCTGTTGTTTGTCTCCCTTCCCTGGCACATTGATCTTTTTGTTCTTTTATTTTTCCCCTTTATCCGTGTGGGATTCTGCTTTTCTTGAATTGTTCCATGTGGTTCTTTACTTTCTTTTTCATGTGCAACCAGGCTTTCTTTAAAGATTATACTTTTATCACTGTGTCCTTTTCTTGGTTTCTATCTACTTCTCCAATTCAAGTTAATTCGGTGGTCATTACTAGACTGTGAGAAAATATCAAATGAATAAAAATGGCATCGATTCGTCTGCAAGTTCTGTTTAGCAGCATGCTTCCTACATTTCTACCTTCTATCAAAGCTGACTTGAACACAATAATATTGAGCCAAACTAATCAAAATTCAGCTCAATGCTTCACCAGTTACATGGCTTTCTTTTAACCACATTCAGCCTTGTTTCTGACTTCACCTCTCCTCTAAAGGCCAAATGACACTTGGTCTCGGTAATTTTATCAGTTTTCATTTATTTCATGTAGTCCCAATTTCAGATATTACACGAACATCACTTGAGATTTCAAATTATTTTCATATAATTCCTCGCCTAAAATGGATGAAGATGATAGCGCCTTTTTTTCCACTATATTATATTTGATAGGATGAATGAGCATTATATACAGTTTGGAGCGCACCAAAATTTAGGACAATCCAACTAACACCCCATTTGATATTTTCCTTCATAATTTTGAAGTCCTGTAATTTTCAACCATCTCCTCTCCATCATCAATGACGAGTTTGAAAAGTCATGTATAAGATAATGATAATTGGAACACCGGTGGGCCGATAAAAAACAAAGAAATGAAAGCAACATCCCATCACCCTATGATCCAGACAAAGACGAAGGCACAACACGACAAACAACGGCGAGCTAAACGAAGATGCTTACCCCTAATTTTTAAGTGCTTCATCAAAACGCATATTAAAAACATTAAGAACTTGATAGAGATCAAATATTCGTCATGCATGGCTAATAACCTAATATTTACAGCATCTTTCTTTATTTCTCGTTCATTATTAAGCCTAACACACAACACAAGCGTATTAATTAGTTTAACTACATCGGCGAATCCGAAGATTTTGTCGCCATCTCCCACTTCGTTTCGGAAATCTCGGCGCCACTGTCATTGGTCTCATAAGCCAAAACATTTTGTCTCACTAAAATTTGATCACCAAAACTTTATAAATATCCACAACTCAACCCAATTAGTCAGGTGCTAATAACAAATTAACACTAACATCATTATTAGTACCAGTTTTCCATAGCCACATTGGCTAAATTGGCTAATTTCCTTCCTTCCCAGCATGGCCTCGACGACAAAGGAACGCTCTCTTCCTACCTTCCCAACAATCCACCAATGTCCGTCAATCGGTCGCGAAAAGCACACAGTGGTGGCAGACATGGATGGCACTCTGCTCAGAGGCCGCAGCTCCTTCCCTTACTTCGCCCTCGTGGCCTTTGAGGTCGGAGGCATATTAAGGCTTCTCTTTCTACTACTCGCATCTCCACTCGCCGGACTTTTGTACTACTGTGTCTCTGAGTCCGCCGGCATCCGCGTCCTCGTTTTTGCAACTTTCGTCGGCATGAGAGTTTCCGACATCGAATCTGTTGCACGTGCGGTTCTCCCGAAATTCTACTCAACTGACCTCCACTGCGAGACGTGGAGAGTCTTCTCTTCCTGCGGGAAACGCTGCGTTTTGACGGCGAACCCGAGGATCATGGTGGAGGCGTTTTTGAAGGACTTTTTGGGAGCGGATTTGGTGCTCGGGACAGAGATCGCCACGTACCGAGGCCGAGCTACCGGGTGGGTCCTCAGCCCCGGGATTACCGTCGGAAAAAACAAAGCCGACGCGCTCAACAAAGCCTTCGGTACTGACCCGTCCTTGGCCCCGGATATTGGTCTCGGCGACCGGAAAACGGATTTCCCGTTCATGAAGCTTTGCAAAGAGAGCTACGTGGTTCCAGCTAAGCCGGAAGTCGAGCCGGTAAGCCACGAAAAGTTGCCAAAGCCGATAGTGTTCCATGACGGCCGGCTCGTCCAGAAACCAACGCCGCTCATGGCTCTGCTCACAATTCTTTGGATCCCCGTTGGCTTCATGTTAGCTTGCTTGCGCATCGCAGCAGGCTCACTGCTCCCTATGCCTGTCGTATACTACGCTTTTTGGGCCCTGGGCGTACGGGTGTACATCAAAGGCACCCCACCTCCTCCCGCTAAGAAATCGATAGGCCAAAGCGGAGTTCTTTTCATTTGCTCACACCGAACCCTCCTTGACCCTATTTTTCTATCCACCGCCTTAGGCCGTCCGATCCCGGCTGTCACGTACTCTTTGTCCCGTCTCTCGGAGATAATCTCTCCCATCAAGACCGTCCGGCTCAGCCGTGACCGAGTCACCGACGCCAACATGATCAAGAAGCTACTAGAACAAGGAGACCTAGTCATATGCCCCGAAGGGACGACATGTCGTGAGCCGTTTTTGCTAAGGTTTTCGGCGCTGTTCGCGGAGCTGACCGACGAGCTCGTGCCGGTGGCGATGTCCAACCGGATGAGCATGTTCCACGGCACCACGGCCAGAGGGTGGAAAGGGATGGATCCGTTTTACTTCTTCATGAACCCTAGCCCGGCTTATGAAGTGAACTTCTTGAATAAGTTGCCGCACGACTTGACGTGTGGGGCCGGGAAGTCGAGCCATGAGGTGGCGAATTACATACAGAGGAACATCGCCGCCAGTTTGTCGTACGAGTGCACGACGTTCACAAGGAAGGACAAGTACCGGGCTTTGGCTGGAAACGACGGCATTGTGGAGGAGAAGCCTAAGCGTGCTGCCGCAGCTAAGAAAATCATGGGCTGCTGATGATTTAAAGCTAGAAATGATACGTAAATCGTGTGCTTTTCATTTTTCTCATGAATTTAATCTCATATAATCACATGCATTGTACAACAACACATATGCATGCTAATTAATATAGTCATTTCTTGTTCACCAATATATATATATATATATATATATATATATAGTCATTTCTTTCTCGTTTGATCTGTACTTTTTGTGTTGATTGGTTTTGCATCGTCATCATTTTGTAGAAAACAATACAATTTTGCGCTACATGCATTAATTTATCTAAACAATTGGTGAAGGCAGGAAACACATGAGCGTCCGTAAATGCTAGGCTTACTACATTTTTATACTACATTGTGTATCATTTATGTCCATCTATTTTAGAGAGATGATACACAATGTGGTATGAAAATATGGTAAGCCTAAAATTACCCAAAGTAAAAACATGGGCAAGCTGAATGCGAAGTCAAGTTTCAACAATGAAAATTAACGAGCACAATATACCCACAAGATTACAAAGCCCAATATTTGTCGACAAGTTTTTGTTCAATAATGTTGGCCCAGATCTTGCTATTTTGGACCAGGATGGTTTTTGCTCTCATGCACGATACATATGCTCACTAGTTGTATTCAATTATGTATTTATTTTTCTCGACGATATGACGAGTAATGTGATCAAGAGCTAAACATATAACTATATACACTCTTAACACATAAAAATCTCTTCTCATGGACAACCTGCATATACTTGAAATTGAGTATAAGTTCTTTTTAAATAGATGGTTAAGTAAAAGATGGATTGAGTGTTCTAAAAAATTTGAGCATTTCATAGAATAAAACAATATATGTTATTTTTAAAGTGAAAAAAGAAAATGTTTGTGTGAAGGTTTGCAATCTCTGAGCTCTATTTTGTTTATTTGTGCTGCATAGTGGTACCTTGTGAAATTTTATTTTTTGGTCGCTTGTTTATATATATATTTTTTTATAAAATTTTATTGGGAAGAGTGATAACATATTAAATTCACACATGCTACACAAATGCTAAGACTCGAACCCAAAACCTTTTCTGAAAAAACAATTACTCAAAACTACTACCATAGTTGGTCATTTGTCCGACGCCTGTGATTTTGTATACCGTACTTTCTTGAAATTCTTAGGAAGCTTCCAGAAAATAATAACAATGGTGTTGCGAGTGCGACCACTGACAATACAATAACCAACAAAACCGGCGATATTCAGTGGGCGCCCCCTTCATTTGTCTCGAGTTGAACCAAGAGAAAGTTCTAAACGAAACCCCCACGCACTCACCTCCCCATTTGCCCACCAAACAGAGTCATTTGACATTTCAATGAATTAATTGCAAAACAACACACCCACCGTTTTGTTATTTTTCTCCACCATAAAACCAGTCTTCCCTCTCTTCTCTCCAATTCTGTACATTTCAGACCTTGCCAAAACCCTAGATTTTTTCATGGATTCTCGATTTTTGCTCACTCTTTCTCTTTGTTTCCTTTGCATTTTCCCTCATCTCTCCTCTTCCAGAAGTCGCGTCCCAATATTGATCGAGGAGAAGAAAACGTATCTCTCTCTCTCTCTCTACGTACACATGTTTGTATTTTCATTGAATCATTTTGTCTGAACATTGTTTGCATTGCAGGGAGGGATCGGTGCTTAGACTGAGAAGAGGCGCTTCTTCTGCTACCTTCGATCCAACTCGGGTCATTCAACTCTCATGGCGTCCCAGGTTTTCTTTTTTCTCAATTGCATTCCATTACTTTTTGCTGAATTTCTCTTTTTTTATCATTGTTTGATTATTTCTATTGTTTGCATTAACTTTTCTTTCTTTTTCATATTTTGTGTGATCAACAATCTGCAGGGCTTTTCTTTATAAGGGTTTTCTTTCTGAGGAGGAATGTGATCATCTAATCGAGATTGTAAATTATTTTTCTCCCCCATATTTTCGTTGAATTTGGTAGTTTTAGTCCGTCCAAAACAGTAATTAGAGTCTTTGTTTAATAATGTGCTTTTAAATATGATTTGGTTTGTGTGAATTTTGGGGGCAGGCAAAGGATAAGCTGGAGAAGTCTATGGTGGCTGATAATGAGTCTGGTAAGAGTATAGAGAGTGAAGTCCGGACGAGCTCCGGAATGTTCCTTCAGAAAGCTCAGGTTTGTTAATTCCTTTGCTTTCTTGAACTAATGGTTTTACTTCATTGAATGGTTTTGTTTAAATCAATGCAATTAGCGTGGTATGATTTATTTTCCTTCACTTTATGTGATCCGATATACTTTTGAAGATTCATGTAAATTGCTTACAAATAGAAGATTTATATAAGTTAGTGCGTCTTACCATGTTGCACATTGAATTACACCCGCTCGTGGTAGTTTCAACAACTCATACTAGTCTTGTAGGCAGTTTGAACCCACATTTCAGCAGAATTGTTAAGCTTCCTTTGGTGTTGTCCAAGTTATGGATAAGTAAAAAGTCTGATAATAATGGTATATTTGGTAGACAATTCTGTTAAACATATTTATGTGGTGGGAATGGAACTCAGTGCATTTGTGAGGGTCAAGATGGGTTATCTTCTTGCATCTGATTTAAATCAACTTACGTTGTAGTTCTTCTTAGTACAAAAGTTCTGAATGGGATTATTGATCACACCTTCTTATATTTGTGTTGGAAAGAAGAGAAGTTCCTGCTTCTGTTTAGCTGCCAAGTGTTTATCTTTCTTACTATGCTCTGAGGTCCAATCCCACTGTGTGGTGAATGTAGCCATGTGTTATTAAAAATTGCAATCCATGTTCTGTTACTATATTATCTACTCTTTCTGACTTTTGAACTCAGAAGGCTGACTTGGTGTTCTTTGTTTCACCTTAAAGGATGAAGTAGTTGCTAACATTGAGGCCAGGATTGCTGCATGGACCTTTCTTCCAATTGGTAAATTTCCGACGTGTGGTTGATTTATGATTTGTTGGACTCTTAAGAAAGTGTTTTATTTCATCTTATTTGAACTATTTTATTCTCTAATCAGAGAATGGGGAGTCCATTCAGATACTGCACTATGAACATGGCCAAAAGTACGAACCACATTTTGATTATTTTCATGACAAGGCTAACCAAGAATTGGGTGGCCACCGTGTTGCCACTGTGTTGATGTATCTCTCTAATGTTGAAAAGGGTGGGGAAACTGTCTTTCCCAATACGGAGGTAAATGGTTACTTGCATCACTGGGTTCTCCTGTCCTTTTTTCTCCCCTGCCTCTTGAATTTCGTTGTTCTTTCTCATGTGCCAACAGTCCCAAATGTCTCAATCTAAGGATGAGGACGCGTCTGATTGTGCTAAACAAGGCTATTCAGGTATCACTTTATGATTTGGTCACATAAACTAAATGTATTTGAATTTTTTTGTTTAGTTCTCTTATATCTAATTCACAAATGTGTATCACTATTTAACTAATTCATGTCCAGTACAGTAAATGCGGGAAGAGGGGTTGTGAATATTCTTTCTTACTACTTTGTACATCATATAGGCAGCATTATTATCTTAATTCACTTTGAGTTGGAGAGAGGAGGAAGGGGGTTGTGAATATTCTTCTTCCTGCATTTGTAGTTCATATATCAACCCCAATTTAAGTCAGAGAACAAGCTACATAGCCATTGAAATTCATTCATTTGAAATCAATTGTGCTGTTATGCTGTTTTACTCATGTCACAATCATTTATCTACTGCGTTTGTGTCTCCTATCATAATTTTGTTTGACTGTGAAGTTCTTTTTTTTGCATCGCGACAGTGAAACCCTACAAGGGTGATGCCTTGCTATTCTTCAGTCTTCATCCTGATGCAACAACCGATCCAAGCAGTTTGCATGGAAGCTGCCCTGTCATTGAGGGTGAGAAATGGTCTGCAACCAAGTGGATTCATGTGAGATCCTTCGAAAAGTCAATAAAGCATGCAGTTAGCGGGGACTGTGTGGATGGGAATGACAACTGCCCCCTATGGGCCAAAGCTGGTGAATGTGAAAAGAACCCTACATATATGGTGGGTTCGGAGGGTCTTCCTGGGTTTTGTAGGAAGAGTTGCAATATGTGTTCATCCTAGGGAGGTCAATATTTGCAGTTATTTGGCTTCTTGGGTCTATACAGAGGGGTTAATGATTAGTTGTATATAACATCGAGCTCGGCCATAGTGAGATATATATGTTAGAGCTGCTGCCCAGATTAAACTTTTATAGTATATTCAGTACTTGAGCAGTTTTACTATCACAAAGATGAATCTTTAATTTCTCCACTATTTTTAGTGGTATAAAGGATGATATTATTATAAACAAATTTGGGTAAAAAAAAAAGTGGTTTCTTTCCAATCCTCCTGTTAGTGGTGTGCATGTGAAATACCCAAGCAGTGAAGCGTTGAAGCATAAGCCAGTTCTGTATACGGTGACGATCATGAACTTTTTCTTCTCTTTATGATTAGGCCCCCCCAAAAATAAACCTTAAAATGAAATGTGAAAATTTGGGGGCCAAAATAAGGTCCTTGGCAGGTGTGTAAATTCGCAGTACATTTTTCTGACTCTAATGGGTGCCTGCTAAATGCCATCATAAGATGTTTACATACTAGGTTCGCTTGCATGACGATGAAAATTGTACATGGACCGTGAACCCTTGTACAAAAGGGAGGCCTAGTTTACAATAGTTTCATTGTTGTTAAGCTTGAGAAAAGCCCTTTTTTTCTAAATTGTACAAGGACAGTTAATTCTACTCTGCTTGAGCCTTAACCAAACAATCCACCCAATTTGAACCTGGGTAGAGTGCACCAAGTGCCAACACATGAGAGAGAGAGAGAGAGAGAGAGAGAGAGAGAGAGAGAGAGAGAGAGATGCATAGTTTTGTGATGTCATTTTAAACCGTTTTCTAAGAGGTGAAAATGTTCATGCAATTTTGGTTAATTGAGAGCCGAATGGCATGCATTTCTTGCCTATTTTCTTTGCTAATTAATCCATTCCTTTCCTCTTTTTAAATGTACTTGCAAAGTTTGGAACTTGCATCACCATTACATAATTCACCTTCACCTCTCTCTCTCTCTCTCTCAATGGGAAGGCCACCTTGTTGCGATAAATCAAACGTGAAAAGAGGCATCTGGACTGCAGCAGAGGATGCCAAACTTCTTGCATACGTTTCGAAACACGGAGTTGGAAATTGGACTTTGGTTCCAAAGAAAGCAGGTTTAAGTTTTATGCTTAACTTTTTTAATGCAGGTATTATTGACATCATATTTATACATACAAGTTTCTAAATTAAGCATTTGCATGAGTCTGTTTGCAGGACTTAATAGATGCGGGAAGAGCTGCAGGCTTAGGTGGACTAATTACCTGAGGTCTGACCTCAAACATGACAGCTTCACTCCTCAAGAGGAAGAGCATATTATTAACCTTCATGAGGCTATAGGCAGCAGGTGGAGTTTTCTTTTACTTATTTTCTCCTTTCAATAGCACTTGGCTTTAAGATAATACAAACCAAATCCACCTAAAACCAGAGCAACTAGTTGAAGTAGATTAAAGACCAAGAGATCAACCAAGATTAACATCAAAACATCAATAAAATTTAAAGATCACAAGAGATCCTGCAGATATATGTAAGAAGATGACAGATAATTCCTGGTGATTTGGTTTGTTTTAAGGAATCTGATTGTTTTTAATGAGTTTTCCGAATTTTTTGATGCGAAAAGAGCTTATGTGACTGAAGTTCTAGAAGATCACAACAAAAATTACTGCCAACTGGATATATATCTATGTACAACCGTGTTAACAGCCTGTATTCTGTTAGAACTGCATGCATAATGTCTCTCTCTCTCTCTCTCTCTCTCTAAGCTCTAAAGTGTGCTCTTAATCCCAATGCTTATGTAGTGCAGGTGGTCTCTCATTGCAAAGCTACTACCCGGAAGAACAGATAATGATGTCAAAAACTACTGGAACACAAAGTTGAAAAAGAAGCTTTCCAAAATGGGAATTGACCCTGTAACCCATAAACCTTTTTCTCAGATCCTCTCTGACTATGGAAACATCAGCAGCCTCCCAAGCATCGGTAATCAATTTGGGTCCTTTTTTAAGAACTTGAACAACACGTTCGTGCCGAAATCAGAGCCATCTTCAGGCATCACAGGACTTCCATTGGGCGTCAACACATATTCCAATATGATGATGAACCCTATGGGATCAGACAATTCCACTGCTAGCACTCTTTCATTGGGTTTTGTGGCTCAGTTTCAAGAAATCAATCAAGACAGTGTGCAAGTGCAACCACACTTTTTGAATGAAGTAGCTTCCTCTTGTTCATCATCATCTTCTCCTCATGCCACTGATCATCAATTAAGCTCTCAGCCAACTTACTTGTGCCAGCAATCTCATCATGAGGCTCAGATTACACCATCTTCTTCCTTTAATTGGAGTGAATTTCTTCTGCATGACCCCTTTTCATCAGCTGATAAACTCAAGCAAGAACAAGATTTCAATGGAACAATGATGTCATCATCATCAGCTATTCCCACACTTGCTGGTGGAAGTGAACACAACTTGAATGCGACACCTCAGGCATGTGATTTTGGATCTTCAGCCATTAATATTGGAGGCCAAAGGAACAATAACTTGGCTCATGATCAAGCTTCTTCATCTTCCATGACTTCTTTTGTGGATACTATCTTGGGTCAAGATAGTGAGATGCAGGCAGCGTTTCCTGAACTTTTAGATGCTTCTTTCGATTATTAATTAGTGCTTGCATTGTATGTCACACTTTACTATTATATTAATTACATAATGAAGCTTTAATTTTTCATAGTCATAAATAACATTTTAAAATAATTTATTAACACCTGACATCATAGTTACTCAACCAAAGACAGAAAAAATGAAAAGAAAAGAAAAAAACAGACAGAAATGAACTGGGGTCCAAAGGATGGATAGGGTCAATGTAATCTAGAATATTATTAACTACTGTCTCTGCTGGACTTGCAATGCCTATTCATATTGCCAAGTCACTTAAGAATAACTCCTCTCCCTCTCCTCCAATAGAATTGTGGGTTTATTTATGAGTAACTGGCCACAAACTTAAAGAGAGCAAAACAACCTCAAAACAAAAAACAGTTTTGTTAGTTTAAAAACGCAAAACTTTTAATATCATCCTCATGAATGAGAGACGAAACAAAGACAGACGAACACAAAGACAAACACAGAGAAAGAGAAAGAGACAGAGACAGAGACAGAAAGTATTGTGATCAATGAATGCATTGCCGAGATCATCGATTTCATTTAGGAGGCAAGGCTCTTCCGGCCTCATTTGGGAGGATAGGGTTCAAGTACTCGAACAGAAGCCCGCTCTGCAGGTCACAATTTCCATTAACAAAAGTGACAGCCAAGAGCATACTTCGAATCTCGACGAAAGATTTCAAGAAAGAAAGGATGTTGATTCACCTTCCCCACCATTACCAGAGACATCTGTACCTTCTAAGCCAGAAAAAAGAGATCGAGGATGTTCCTTTTCTACCCTGTTTGGTCGATGTATGCGGTCTCCTGCAGCCTAGATTGGATCTTAGTTCTATATGTACATTGTGAAGGTAATTAATTGTGGAACTGCATAGCTTAAATCTCTTTAAATTTTCTTAATTTATCTTTAAATTAGTCAGCTTTGTGCTTATGGATGCACGCATTGTCGGTACCTGCCGATTATGAATGAAAATCTTTGTCAGCCATGCTCTTCTCATAGACATTTGGAAAGATGACATTATTGATCATCAGCATGCAGATAACGCAGAGAACATTAAAGAAAAGGGATAGAAATATTGATCAGAACGCTGAAAGATCAATGTAAGAGCAGCTTTCAGATATAATCAACGGATAAAATGGATCAGAACACCAAGCCTACCAAGAGGTAAAAAAGACCGGAGGAACAGGATTAAAAGAGGCAGATTATGATCAGGTTGTAGTGGATGGGTGTCATGCAATGCCAGAAAGCTGATTAATCAGTGGTTGCAACCTTCTTAGAGAAAGCACAAGCATAAATCAAATGGGGATATAAATAAAAAATTTATTCTCTTTATTTTACTCTTCCTGCCAAAACTGTACATTTAAGAGGATATATACAAATAACAAATAACTCAAAGATGCTCAAACGTCACAATTTGAGACTTCAGAAGACGAATTTTGGCGTCCAAGAAACCCGTGGTTTGGTAGAAGTTAACTTGTTTATGAGTTCTTCATAGTGGAAGTTAACTTGTTTGTCTGTTCTTCATTGTTTTAAGATCCTTCAGTATTTAAGCTCTTGTTGGGATTACAGAGACTTTTGACTCAAAACCCCAGAAGATGATTTATTATTGTAGTCGACTTTATTCCACCGTATACAGCATAATAAATGCTCTGGCAAGTCTTCAGCCTTGTTTCCCTGTTTAAATACGATGCATAGCACAGATCAAGTATGGATATAAGTAGGAGGTAAAAAAGCCATGCTCAGAATCATGTAATTCATTGTTTACCTGAATTGTAAGACCAAAATCCAATATGCATAGCTTCATTCTCTCGTGAAATGCTTCAATGCCTTTTCTGGAGATGTAGCCGAATCTGTGCATATCCAAATCAATCTCGAAGTAGTTTTCTCCCTGTAAGAGTATGATGGGGGAAAAGAAAGAGTAACTAACTAAGGCTATACGGTGTAACCTGCAATTATTACATTTTTACCAAAAGGCATGTAGAAAAATCTAAACCAAAACTTACCAAGTAAAATTCATGTTGAGGACGTGAAAGAACAGGTTTTTCATTGTAAGCATTCATTAGCTTCTTCTCAGCTGTGCTTAAGTGAAGATCCTCCAAATTTGCCACTCGGCCCAAGATTTTCAATCTTTCCCTGAAGGGTGCAATTGTATCAACAGGGAATCCTCTAACTCTCTCAACTTCATCATTGATTAATCTCTGTCAAGGAACAAAACAAGCCCGCAATATATTTAATCAACTGGTTGTACTAAATCAACACAACAATAGTCATGAGTCTACTATGAAGTATGTTTTCCAGGCAAAAAAAACATCAGATTTTTATGCATGTTGAAAATCAGGATTCGGCCACAGGTAGGACTTCAGGCAACTTACAGTGATACTTTCTCGAAAATGAGGCGGAAGCTCTTTTGAAAAACTTTCAGAAATCTTATAGTACATAACTAAATTCATTCCTTCTCCATCACTTTCGCCTTGAAAAAAATTGGCCGGATAAAGTGGTATCTGCAGCATAGAAGAATACACATAGAATGTGAGAAAAATTATATAGCAATGTTTAGCATCAGAAGAAAAACTATTCCCTAGCCTAGAGGACAGATTATGATTATGAATATGATCAGAATACAAAAATAGCCGTAAGAGATTCACAGCACTTTCCAACTTCCAGTCAAAAAAATATAATGAAACAAAATAAGAGGTACAAAGTCCAGGAAAAGATATTTTTAGAGGAGAGGCACCTGAACATTTACAACAAGAATAGAAGGGACATCTTCAACTGAATTCACAACAGGAAGTTCCACAAAACGAGCAATATGATCAATCTTCCTCTGAGATAAGAAAATATCAGCGGCAAAAGGATAAAATGCAGCGCAATTTGGAGCAGGCTCTTTCTTTTTATCCCTGTCAAGCAAATGAAGAGTTGATGCAACAATAAATCAGCGAGATTATTCAGAAAATAAAAATAAAAACAATAATAAACCTCATCAAAATACTATGCTCTCACCTAAGATAATTTTTCCCCCTGACTTTAAATGTGTTTGGCTCAAGAGGTGACCAACAATCTGGCATACTCTTCTCAATGGGGCAGTATGGAATTGTAGAACCTGCAATTGGTCTTTTCACAAATGCCTTTGGTGATACTAACACAAAGACAGAAGGTGAAGTCAGCTGCCAGTCCACATTATAAAGTTGTATCATAAATTCACAATAATAAGAAAAGGGTAACTGAGTCTATGGGCAACACTCACATAATGTGGGTGTAGGATCAGCTGCTGTAGCTGTAGCTGTAGCTGTAGTTGCAGCAGAATGCCCTTCCCTCCATTTAAAGGAAAGAACTTTCCTCCTCAAACTTGGTGTGGCTGGGTTTATCCTCTTGTCACCTGAGGGGCTAGCCAGACAAGGCAAGCAAGCATTTTGAAGAATCCCACAATGCTCCAACGGTTGCATTTTGTCCTCTCCAACACTCTCATCCACAACTTCATCTGCCGACACTGCAGAGGTCGAATGCAATGGTGGTTGCGGTTCCCTTGTTCTCTGGCGAGAAAAATTGTGACCTTTTGGAGATGAAATGCTCAAAGTGGATGCACTTTCTGACCCATTTAGAGACACCACATCTGCAAATCAAAGCAACCCACTTCTTAACTCCACCATTCCATTCCATATGTTTAAAAAGTCTAAAAATTTGTAAAAATACAGAAAAGTGGGAGGAAAAAAATAATACCATCATGAACACTATAAAACTCGTCATCTCGCTCGGATTCAATCGCCGAGTTTGCATCAAACCACGCGGCATCCATACTTCCTGTTGGTCGGTTCTCAGCGAATTAAATGAAATTGAAATATAAAAATATTACAAAAATAAATTCAAAAATCGACCAAACAAACAGTAAGAGAACCAATTATAAAGACCTTGGAGTGTAGGAATAGACTTAGGGTGCGAGCGATCGGAAGACGAAACGCGCCTGCGAATAATTCTTCTTTGGCGGCCATTCTTCTTCTTCTTTGAAAACCCAAAAGTGCAGCCCTTCGGCCTCGAAACACAAGCTCCCATTTTTCTCTTTCGATCGGATTAGGCAACTTGTGCTGCTGCTGCTGCTGCTTCTTCTTCTTCTTCTCAGTCTGTGATCGATCTTGAAGTAATTAAACAATTAATTAGACGCAGCGGGAGATAATTCTCTCTCTCTCTCTCTCTCTCTCTCTCTCTCTCTCTCAGCGCTTCCGAACTGGGCAAAATTGTAGTCTTTGCCCGCTGTTGGAAAGTCAATCTTGAGCACGACGCAGTAATTATTAACTCCAATTAGATTTTTCGTTTATTTATTAACAACAGTCAGGCAGTTGGTGGCGGATGTTGTGACGCGCTCTTTCCACGCATCATATCAACAACGGTTCAGCTCCCGCCACGTGGGTACTATGTCTGTGATGGCAGACTCCGTGCCTGCACTGCATGTACTATTTTGTTGTTGTACAGTGACGATTTTTTTCTGCCGAACTTCATGTGTCTTCGTGTCGCGTTTGTGTGTGCCTAGCTTTCCGAGATCCTTATTGGATGGTTTGATTGGATGATCTTGCACGTGTGTCTGTTATCAAAGCACCAACTTCGAGGAAGGTACTATTTGTTGGGCCTGTAAATGGGCCTCTAATCACTCTAACCGAGCCCATCTATAAATGGACCGTTTGGATCGTCCTCGGCCCATGTTAGAGATACGTTGATATTTTTCAGACACAAGTGAGAGATGCTCCATTCTCTGGAGCTCAGGCAAGTGGAAATGGCGGTTTCTTCATCTCCGATTCTCTCTCCATTCGTAGTGAATATAATATCTGCGGACTTTGGCTCGTCTTCTACAGGTCTTCCTCGCTTCAATTTCTGCTCCATACAACGCAACAATCGACGGCAATCCCCTCTCATCGTCCTCTCTTCGAGTAACCTTATCGTTCTTTTTTTTTTCAAACAGTTTATTTGGATTCAAATTTCGTTATCAGGGAAAAAAATCGAAGCTTATACTCTGTTTTAATGGTTGCAGAGTCAAGTAAGGAATCGTGGAGTGAGGCTAAGCGAGTGTTGATGGAGCAGTACGGTTTCAACCCCGACGAGGCCTTATCTGAGCCGTCTCCGAAGGTTCCTCTCTCTCCCTCTTGCTCGTCCATTAATCTGTTGATTATTTTGGTCATATTTTTTTACTTATTTGGAAATTGGAATGTTAGAGCAAGAGGAAGAAGGAGCTAAAAGAGGCAGGAAAAGACAAGCAAATCTCACCAAAGGAGCCTAAGCCCCCGCGAACTACCCATAAGTTGCTTACGGTGTGCACATTTTTCCAATTTGTGTCTTTTATCATTTGTTATTGCAAGTTAAAGAACACATTTAGTTTCTACTTGTTGATTAGCTAAAGGGTGGGTGGGTGTACTGTACACAGTACATGTTTCACAATTGGGAGGCCATTTGTACCAATTATATTAATATTTCATGAATCTGAATTGCTGCCACTGTAGGTGCTTGGAGGAAAGGCTCGAAGAATGAAGTTGCTCTCTCCAAAGGGCATGGATGTACGCCCAATGATGGAGGTCGTCAAAGGTGCAGCCTTTGATATCCTGCAGGTAATTATTAGTTTGCGTCTGTAGAGAGCCTAGAGGCCATCCACTATTCACATTCTTCTGCAAACAATTGAAGATTCTCGTATTATAGAACAGAGTTTCTGATGTTTGGTATTTGCTTTTAATCAGATTTGGGAAGTTTACTTGTCAATAACCAAAGTTCTGTGCTTGTGAACTAATATTTGTGCTACAAATCTTAGGCTGCCGGTGGCTGTCCTGCATCCTTAAGGCCTGGCCGTTGGTTAGACTTGTACAGTGGTACTGGATCTGTTGGAATTGAAGCTATTAGTCGAGGATGTTCTGAGGTACCATTCAAAATTTCTATCATATCTCATGCTACTGTAAACTGTTATATTTTCAGCATAGTATAGTTATGTACCCTCTTCGGTGGGGTCTTGAATCATCACTGAACAAATAACAGTCTGAGGTAGTTTTCTGACTTTAGGTGCAGTTGGGATTTGAACCTGGTATTTCCAACATGATTTTCAAGGCATTTATTTTTGTTTTTGTTTCTGTCATATTCAATCTTTGGGTCAGGGAACTTTCATCCTTATGAAATTTCTACCTTTTACAATTACAAATTTCCAGGTACATTTTGTTGAGATGGATCCGTGGGTCGTTTCAGATGTTTTACGTCCAAACTTGGAATGGACTGGGTTTCTTGATGTTTCAGTTATACATACTGTTCGTGTTGAAAAGTTCATAGAACGTGCAAAGCAACTTGCAGGTATGTGCTGCTGCTGCTGCTGCTGTTCTCTCTCTCTCTCAATTTTAGACAAAGGATCATCTACAGAGTGGAAGATACTATAATCCATCATGCAAAACTTGTCTTATGATTTTAGATTCGTCATATTTCTTGGAACGTAAGTAACCATGTTTGATTTATTTTTTTTCTTCGTATCCAGTCATTACAAAATAAAATTCAATTTTCTGCAGGTAAAGAACCATTTGATTACATTAGTGTTACCCCTCCGTATATGGAAGTTGACTATGCTGTTCTCATGGATCAAATATCAAATTCAGCCTTAGTTGGAGAAGATACCTTTATAGTAAGTCGTTTTTGTTATAAACATTCTGCTATGTGCTTATGTTTTTGCTAGTTCATTAATCTTCCAATTTTCATGGTCTAGGTAGTTGAGTACCCACTAAGGACTGACATGCTGGATTCATGTGGATGCCTTGTGAAGGTAATGCAAACTATCAGCAATTTGTCTATGAATAAAGCATTTTGAAGTTAAAGTTAATAGATAAGTATACTAACCACATAACTATAAAATGTTTGGGATGGGTTAACTTTGAAGGTGCAAGCAAGGTAGAAGTACATTAAGAAAATGATAAATAATCCTACCAAAGTGGCTTCATCCATATCCGTTGATTATCTTCTTCAATTATGCTTCCATGCAGCCATAGAAAGAAAGATCTCCCTCTATAAATTTTCTTTGCATGTTCTTCTTGATGAAATTGTACTATATGCTATTTATCCCATGAATAGAGTTGGTAGTGTTTAATACCAGATAGTATTGTTATGTATGTTTGAGTATTGTGGAAGCTGTGTGGTTTACGGGTTTTTAAGTGCTAATAATCTAATATGGTACTGCAGATAACCGATCGTCGGTTTGGTAGGACACACTTGGTTATTTATGGACCCAAGTGGGCCGAGAAGAAGAAGAAGAAAGAAAAGTTACTTCGGGGAGTAGCAGTAGAAGTTTGACCGAAGCCAACATATGGGAAGGGAAACTGAATCTGAAATTATGATGGTTTCTTGAAGGATGCAATTTTGCATTCTCTTCTGCTATGTTGAGACACAATGAAATATTTACCCTAACAACTTTGAGTCATGCTGCATCAGCTCTAATGGACTTGCACGGTAAATTGCCGTTTCATGGGCAGTGTATATTCAACTGTGTTTGTTACATCTCTCTGATCAAAAAGGGAAGAAAAAAAAAACGAAATATAGTTTTATGCTTATATCCATGTTGTTACATCTCTCTGAGTTTTGGATTTATATTTTGCAGGTCAAAGACTTAGCTGGTAAATTTGATCTCCTGACTGATCAACAATTGTTAGAAGACGAGTTAAACTTTTTTATGTTAAAGTTGAGTTTTGTCAAAAATATGTAAGGAATCTGAAACTAATTTTTTGTATATATATTTTTTTATTGGAAAAGTAACTTTGTAGGTAGAGTTAATTGGTCTAAATGTTTATCTTCTCCCAATACCTGAATTGCTGAAATTCTTTTACCGTCTAAATTTCTCATATTTGTACCTCTACTCTTTGTAAATGTTTTTCCTGTCAATCCAAGATACGCACGGTACACAGAGTATGTCTCTTGATCTACCAATGCTATAGTTCTAAACTTTATTTGATTCATTATGGTGTGTGGTCTTCATTCAAGGTCGGGAATGGAGGTCATAGAAGAGCACATAGCCTTTAGCATCAAACTGATTGACCCCACTAATTGATCATTTATGCTGATAAGATCTAAGGTGAAAGAAAATACTTTTGACCTGAATCTGTTGGTTTTTGTAGCACAGAATCAACACTGGGCCCTTGAAAGCACAATATAGGTTCACCTAATAGAGGTGACAGTATCCAAAAGTACAAATTTCATAAAGAGAGGTGAATTTTGATTCAATGGTGGACCTCCTTGATCAATACTTTGAGTTTTGTAGATGGGTTTTCCTGAAAGCACAAAGAAGTTGCATAGGGAGTGGGAAAGACTAGTAGGAATTAGTCAGGCGTTTTGTGAAGACATAAACTTAGGTAGGGTACGCTCTTTTTAGACAGAAATCTTAACTTTGATCTTTGTTCAAGCCTTCACTGTGGGATGAGGGCCTGATGTTCGGATTACTTGTGACTTTTGAATCTCATTTTCATGTAGTTTTGATTAGCACACTGACACTCACATATGGTGCATCACAAAGAAGCATTAGCATTTTCTGATTGGATAACTATGTATTTATTACAATTGGGTAGACGAATCTGTGGCATCTAAAGCATTGTCTCAAATTCATGTTAGTATTACTTTCTGGCAAGAGAATTGAATTCTTTCAGGTTTGTGATTATATCTTTCAAGTTCTTGGTAGCGATACTTATTCTCCAATCTTTGTCATCGAAAGGCCAGTTATGATTGAGTGGGCATCTTACAACATCCGAGAATTGTCCAACTTATTTGTAAATGATTTTGAATTGCATCTCCATTGTTGCTTCATATTAGGTGATATCTGCATTTTGCTTAGTTATGATCTTTCATAGCTAATGTTTGCCCCATTTGGCTTCTCCCCCCCGCCCCTCTTGTGGAAGTTGGGATCCCTAGGTAAACTGTTATTGATGGACCCCAGTCAATTGATAGACTCTAGTCTCCACATGTGCTTATTTGTGAAGAAAGAGTTGGGACCTTTTGGTGGACCTCATCTCTCCTATTATTGAAGGATTTACCCTACATTTATCATTGGATTGAACAATAGTTCTTTCAAAGGAGTCATGGATTAAAGATTAAGGATATGTTAATGTAATTAATTATGTCTAGCCTTGACAGTACCAAGGAGAATTTTGAAATTAAAGTAGTTAAAGCTGATTTTAAAATACTGTTAGATAGGAAACATTTCTGGTAGCATTTCTTTATATATTTCTGTCTGTCGGCCGGGTAAGCTTTAAAACACATCAGTTTCTGTAAATGGTGACTGTGAATATATGTATAATCATATGTGGCATGATAGTTTTCAGGTTTTTGCAACACCTTTTCAGGTTTCTATGTTTCTGATTCCTGGATTATTTTGGACATTTAGTAAGTATTATGTTTTAGTATTTGTGGCGTGGTCCATCCACTTAGATTGCAGTGGCATCTCCTTTAACTGTCACTCTCAGAGTCTCAGAGTGTATTCTTCTAATGCTAGGGGTGTTGCTGACATTTATGAGTCTGGTTTTATGGGAAACTCCCTATGATACCCTTCTTGTGTTATGATGAATAAGATAATAGATTTCAGAAAGATTCCTTGCATTATTTATAGATGATGTAAAGAAACTCATCTTCTGGCCTAGGCAGTTGCTAATAATGTATTTTATCTTGTTTGTTTGCCTCTCCAGTTTGTATCTGTGTTCTGCAATACTGAATTTAGTACATTAATTATAGAGCCTTCCAAGTTTTGCACATCCATTGCGTATGAATGAAACTAGTTCAAAACTGTGATGAGATAATCTTTTCCTGAAGAGTAGATAGCGCATGCTTTTGTGATAAATGATCTATCATATATTCAGGGGACAGAAAAACCTTCTGGTCCAGTAATGAATTGATTGCATCAAAATAGTTACTTGATGGTTCTATTGATAGTTCTAAAGCATTCACCTTCTTTTCTTTTCGGCCCCTTTGGTGGGACTTTTCAGTCCTGTTTGGAAATTTCACCTAATTTTGAGGGCGTATTGGGACAATTTGCCTAGACAGGTAATGAGCTATTCTATTGGTATGTTTGAATGAAAAGTTGCATCAGACCCTTCTTTTTAACTTTAATTATTACTTTATTAGAGAGGCTTATAGCACAATCCTTACCAAGCAAGAAATCTCCTAACTCTGGCCAAAGTTTTAGCCTGACACCTTTTTGTTTATTAGTATTGTTAATATCATTTGGGTGCTGTTGTTTGGGTGAGGTCGTTGATAATATGATTGATTAAACTTAGTTTAGTTAAGAAATCAGGGGGTTAGTTGTTAACTTGTACTCTGGAACCAGCAAACTAGAAATGGGTGGTTCCTCAGTCCTCATTGTTACATAATAGGGTAGCTCCAGGCTCTATGTCTTTTAGAAACTTGGAAGTACGTAAGGGTTAGGGGGATAGTGAGGTCCCGTATTAGCTGCATTGAAAATGCACAAACCAAAGCAGAGAAAGAGGGCTCAAATGGACCCATTCAACACACAAAAGAGCTAGAATAACGAACTTTTCTGTTTTTCTTATTCTCTTTTATTCTCTCTCTATCTCTCTCACTCAGATACACATCTCAACACAGTATCTTCCTGTATGAGCCTTTAAATAGAGCCAACAACTCTACCCGCCAAGTCACAGACCACCTAATCATTTGTTCTATTCTGTCCTCCTTTTTGTTCTCTCTCTCTCTCTCTCTCTCTCTCTCTCTCTCTCTCTCTCTCTCTCTCTCTCTCTCTCTCTCTCTCTCTCTCTCTCTCTCTCTCTCTCTCTCTCTCTCTCTCTCTCTCTCTCTCTCTCTCTCTCTCTCTCTCTCTCTCTCTCTCTCTCTCTCTCTCTCTCTCTCTCTCTCTCTCTCTCTCTCTCTCTCTCTCTCTCTCTCTCTCTCTCTCTCTCTCTCTCTCTCTCTCTCTCTCTCTCTCTCTCTCTCTCTCTCTCTCTCTCTCTCTCTCTCTCTCTCTCTCTCTCTCTCTCTCTCTCTCTCTCTCTCCTGCTTGTGCTTGCTTGTCTGAGAGTTCATCTTTGTCCACTCCCCACAAGCATTGGTCTTTTTGATTCATTCTTTATCCCGGTTTAAAATGGCCAGCCGTTAGGCTTGGGTGGAAAGCCAGAGAGGGAGCTAGAGAGACATATATTATATACATAGATATGGAGAGTGACAGGAAGGTTTTAAGAACTCTGTTTGGAGCTCTTCTGCTTCTGTGTGTCTTTTGGTTTTTCCTTGCTGGAATTCTAGTAAACCGCGGTACCGAAAAATCGACTGTTACAGTTTCATCCACCAAAATGTTCAAGCATTGGAAGTTAATTGGAAGAGAGAAGCATGCTGTTGTTCGGGACGACTCCTTTATTTACGTGAGCAAGAGAAGAGTGCCAAATGGACCTGATCCCATTCATAACAGGTACATTTCTTTTCCTATATCAATATGTACCAGTATAATTTACTTTAGCATAAGTATTGTTGCTGAAATATGATTTGGACACGCACACTGAGACTGTCGGAAAGAAAACCAATCAAAGGAAAAGTTAGATCACAGTAAGCAGAAAGAGAATATATTGTTTCCATAAATTGAATTCATATATTCGCTCTCAGATTTTCAGAGACGTGATAGTGAATTTTTTTACATACAAGTGGCTCTGCCATCTTCCTGGAATATTGGTTTTCTTTCCTTTTTGGTTAAAAGGAAATGCATCTCTGTTTCTTTATTTCTATGTTAGTATTTTTCATTTTTGATTGGATAGTGGGTGCATAACAAGAAGATGAAGAATCAAACTTGGCCTAGGTGGGTTATATTTTATATTATCAGTCATCTTCAGCAAAAGATACCATCAAGACCCTAAAATTGAGATTATATGGAAGTTGATGACTGTCTGCCTCTTTATTAAAAGCTTCTTTATATATCAAACTTTCTCTTATTTTTATAAGGTACACACCTAAAGGCCTTGGAGAAAGAACTTGACAACTTTTGTTAGCGGAGGGGACATGTAGAGCTAACTCCTCCCTTTTGTTTTAATTATTTATGTTAATTTAAAGTTCATCCACTCTTTTTGCCCCATTAGGTGTCGAATGTAATCCCAATTAATTTTTATCCACCACTCCATTGAACAAATTATGTTACAGTGTAAGCACAAAATAGAAAAAGGATTGATATTTCTGCTCGTTTTGCCATACCATGGATATAAAAGTTACTCATTTCATCCTTTAAAGAGAACAGCATGGAAAAAAGAAAAAGAAAAACAGAGAATCAAATTTCTTTGCCTCTCATCTTTTTAGTGCCTCCTACTATGTGTATTCAGGAGAGCAGTGAAGACTAGACAACCACCTGCCCGAGCGTAGCCGGCGTGAAGGGAATTTTGAAGCATCAGAAGTGGAGCTGGGTGCATGTACAATAAGTTATATATATCTGCATTCTGCAATTTGTGCAGTCATTTATCAATTTCTCCGCTTTTAGGAATTAGGATTTGTGGAGTATTAGTTATTGAAATTTTTGGAGAGAAGGTAGGTTTAAGGCTTTAAGCTCACTAGTTTGATTTGATGTCCAAGTTATGAGCATGGTGTGCTATGATGGAATTGCAGCCTCACTGTAAAGTTTTTTATGCGCATGGATAGAAGAACCCAAAACTTATCTCAAACAAAATATACACGTTCAAGAATCTTGAGAAAGATGGGAACTTTGCATTGAATTGTATCTGAAAATGCTTTGGATTGGAGACAAGTTAATGGATTGGATTTTGCTTTGCTTTGAAAAAACCAGACCAAGTAGATAGATACTATAAGAGAATTGGAACTGCACCCAAGAAAGCTTCTATCTATTCTATAGTCGTCCCCCACAATATACATGGAATGGAATGGTCTTGTTGTGACATGTATGATTCATTTCTTCTTTCTAATTGTTAGGCTTTCTTCAAGTGGCTTTTGTTGTTTGTTTGTGTTCCCCAGATAAAGCAATTCCCTTCCGATAAAGGTGCTCTGTTCTCGAAGAAATCCTTGAATGGTGCTTTTGCTAATAATGTTGCCATTTCATTTATCCCTTTGAATTTTTATTTATTTATCTATGGTTAATAAGAAGCATATGGTTTTTGCTGACATGGGTTTAGCCAAGTTGGCTACGGATGTGCTCTTCACTATGCAATAGAGTTCAAATTTCCTCCCCGTAATTTAGATTATATCAAAGTAAAATATATTTTGTATCAAAAAAGAAGCTGATGGTTTTTCTTCCATTGGCAAATTCTGTCATTTTTCTCACATAAATCGAGTCTTTGTATGTGGCCAAATAGTTATTTCATATTTGTACATCCCACTTAACTTTAAACATAACCCACCAACGTAAAAAAAATATTTGATCTAAAGAGAAAAGAGAAGAAAAAAAAAGAAAAAGTAGAAACGCATTCAGTTCAAAGTTAGCATAATGAATATCCAAAGTGAAAACGAAGGAGCTAAAACTCTGCTCGCTGCTTTTTCTTTTGCTTCCTTTTCTCGCTTGATTTTGATTGATTCGAGAGGGAAAGACTCGGTCCAAAGTAGCTGAGATTCAAAATTAATTACAGCCCTTTTTGTTGCATGGGAGACAGATTCCCCTCCCGTGCAGTTCCTTTGATTGAAAGAATCAAGGAAGTAGAGATTTTTTCCCTTAAAATTAGTCTCACCCAAATTACTTTGTGTGACAGAGAGAGTGCGTGGCTTTAAAAGGTGAAGCTGCGATTGAGCAAAACCTCACTCACTGGTTTTGTGAGATTGGTTTTGGTATCAATAATTAATTCAGCAATTTGTGTCACTAATTAAACTTATTACTGTCTTATTAACTTAAAATGGGGAGAGTTTATGTCAATAGTCAAGCTAGAGACACAAGTAAACCTCAAGTTTTGAATCCCAAATGATACGACAACGTAGGAGAGCCATGATGGAGGTTGGAGGTGAGACGCTAAGGTGTATCCCTTTTCTGGTCGTTGTGTCACCTCCATAAAACTCCATTGCTGAGCTCATTTGGTGGCTCGGACTGCATTGTACTATAAAAATTAAATTTGACTAATGTCCCGTTGTTTGGAGAATTTATAAATATTGGAAATGGACTAGACATATTAAATTGGACAAGAGTCCAACATTGTTTGTAGCTTACGAGTCTTATCTTGAGTGGTGAAACTCCATGGCATAGCACTGGACTGGCTCAGTCTCAATCATGTCCAGTCCAAGCAACCAAACGGGCGCGACAAAATAGCATCTTTCTCATCGACTATTCCTTCCTTGAGGAGAGTGTTGACTTTTGAAATTCGTATTTGGCTTATTCATATCTAGAATGGCCTATCTCATCTCATGCTATCAGTGATGAAACTTAAATCCAAATGGTGCCGTGCTGAATATGCTGGTAGTAGTGGCCTAAGCCTACAAGTTAGACTTGGCATGCATTGCTGCACAGAACTTTCTTGAGCTGGTCAATTTGAGCGTGAACATAAAGTTGGCCTTATGAAAAGTATCATCCCACTTTAATTCTAGTGGTAAGGATTACACAACTAGTCAATAACAGGTAACCGTATTCCGGGGCTCAAACAATTTATTTGCTGACTGTGTTTGTGTTTGTGCATGCGTGTGTATATGATGCAAAGGAAACTATCATTGTCAGGAAACCGGAATGAAACAGCTGAGGAAAGTTTCTGTGAACATCTTAGTATTAGTTCTCTTGATCGAAACTATAGAGGAACAAAATAGTGGACATGTTACTTCTTGTCTCATAAACAGAAAGCTCATCAGAAAAAGAAACAATTTCCTTGACAATGTTTGAGAAACCAAAGTCATCATCATCAGAAGAAGAAAACAGAGGATTTTTGAGAAACCAAAGTCATTGGTTTAGAATCTAAGTCTTGGATAATTTGAAATCCTCGTGACGGGACAACAAGATTAAAAGTTACTGTGATCAGGTTCATATCATATGTGATTCTACATAGGTCTGGGTTGTTTGTTCAGTTCTGGCCTAGCAAATAGTTCAGGCTCAGTTCTATCAATTATTCAGTACAGGCCTATAAGCTATCCATTGGTTCTTCTAGCGAAGACATAAATTGATCATATTTCATATACAGGGTTAATTTCTTTAAGAGTGCATTGAATCTGATTATTAGAAGGGAAAACAAAACAAAAAATACCCTGTTACAGTAGTAAAATAGCAATTTCAAACAGATTGGGTAGATAAGACCCTACAAGGCAAGGAATCTTCTGGTTGCTATACTGTTGTATTACATTAAAAGTTCCATTTGTCATCTTTCACACCAAACTTTTATGGCCAAAATCAGGGAAGCATATTGTAAATATCACTGGACCTCATTTGAGTATTGTTTCATATAACAAAGGGTAAACAAATAATTTATTAGGATGCAGGACCCTACTGTTTTGGTAGTTTATTGTATTATACAACTATACTAAAAAATAGAGGAGACCACACACCATTTACATATGAACCTATGAGAACTTACCTCAAGATGAAAGTCTGTAACCATTTGCCATCCCTCTCCCCTCTTTGATTCAAACCTAAGCTGAATCTTTATCCGGCTTGCGAAAAATCAAAGGAAACTCATCATCTTGTTCAGTGAAACTGTTGTCTTTGCTCATACTCTTCAATGAATGGTAAACCTGGTACATAGACCACCTGTCCTTGGGCCGAGAAACTACACAATTACTAGCAACTTTCAGAAATTGCAAAATTTCCTCATCGTGCCCTTTTCCGCAGAGCGCTTTATCAATGGCATCCTTGGTTCGACCAGAACTTGTTAGATGATTTACCCAATCCACCACATTACCCTTAAATCCTTCCTCAACAGCGGTGACTTCTAGTGGCTTTTGCCCAGTTGCCAGCTCCAGAAGCACTATTCCCAATCCATAAACGTCCCCTTTCAATGAAGCAACCATAGTACTTGGATATTCTGGAGCTACATAGCCAAGCTCTCCCAAGTCTCCAGTAACAAAACTGCTTTCATTAGAATCAGAAGCCGTAAGCGTTGCCAACCCAAAATCCATTATCCTAGCATCAAAATCCTCGTCAAGGAGGATCACATTTGAGCATATGTTCTGGTGCATAATTGGAGGCTGACAACCGTGGTGAAGCCAAGCAAGTCCCCTTGCAGCACCTAAACCAATCCTAAATCTAGCTGGCCAATCCAATCCAGAACCACTTCCATGCAACAAAGAATACAAAGTCCCACTTGACAAGTACTTATAAACCAGAAGCTTCTCCTCCTCCACGACACAAAACCCCAAAAGGGGTACCAAATTCGGATGCCTAAGCTGTCCTAAACGGTTCATCTCCAACCGAAATTGCTTCTCACCAAGCTTACAAGTACTAAGCCGCTTAATTGCCAGAGCCGACCCATCAGGAAGTAGAGCCTTATAAGTAGTCCCAGTTCTAGATGAAATGATCACATTTTCGGAGCTGAAATTATTCGTAGCCGCCATCAAATCAGCCAACTTAACCTTCACAAGGGGTTTCTGAAACAAGGAAACTTGAGTAAGCTTGTGAGCCCGCAACCTCTCAGCCCAATCTTCTCTTCCAACCCCATAACCTCCCTTCCTCTTCTTGCTCAACCTCAAATGGTACCACCACCATAGCCCCAAAGCCAACAACAAAGAAGCCGCGGCACCAAACACCCCAGCAGCAATTATAATAGCAAGATTCTTCTTACTCAACCCACCACACTTTGACCCAAGAGGCCCTCCACAAAGCCCGCTATTCCCAGCAAAATCAGCCTTATCAAAACCGTCTAAAAACGCAGGTATAGTACCAGTCAACTTGTTATTGGCCACTGAAAACTTCTTGAGCCTACCCAAGCTAGAAAATTCATAAGGTATAGTCCCAGAAAGCTTATTATCCGAAAGGATCAGATTGTTCAGGTACTTACAGTGTTGCAGATCAGTTGGGATTGAGCCTGAGAAATCATTGCTGGAAAAGTCCAAGGTCACCAAATATGGCAACCAAGTACAAATATCAGGAGGGATCGACCCGGAAAGCTTGTTGCCTCCAAGATCCAGATTCTGAAGGCTGGAACAGTACTCTATGTCCTTCGCAATAGCACCAGAAAGATCCATGTCTCTGAGCTCAAGGTTTAATATGCGGTTCTCTCGATCGTTCCAGCAGGTAACTCCCACAAACTTGCACATGGAAGTCACAGACGTGTTTTTGAAATCCCAAGAGGTCAGCTTTCCAAGTGGGTCTTTCAGAGATTGCTTAAGGCTCTTAAGGCACTTCACATCGTCCTCAACCACAGCCCCATAAGAACAATAACAAGCACAGCTCAAGAACAATATGGCAATCCATATCCTAACAGTTATGCTAGAGATTGAGCCAATCATATTGAAAAAAGCAATGATCTTCAAGCAATTCTCTATGAAACAAATGATGGGTTGTGCGTGTTTGAGGTCTAAAAGGCTCCAAGGACTTGTCAAATTTGCGCGTATTCTGAATCTGATTGGGAAAGTCTCAAAGAGAAGAGGGCCATTGACTTCTCTTCTTCTGTGTGTTGGATGGGGAAATTACCACTTACCACTACCAGGCCCAGGCAAACAGTTGCCTGGAAATTTGGTTGAATGAGTTTTCAATTTTTTTCATAAAGTAAATGAATCTCTGAATTTCAATTTTCTGAGTGTATGATGGGGATTGACAATTGGACTACGGGTTTTGATAAATTATTTGACTAAATGAAGCTTTGATTAGTTGGGAAGGTGTTTTTAATTGAGGGTTTATTTGACCAGAGCCTTTTTTTTTTGAGTTAGGTCGTCCACCTACAGGGGCTGCCTACTGCCACCAGAAATCAATACCGTAATCTTTTGTTTATTAGCTCTCTAATTAGTTCGTTAGTTTATAATTAATTCCTTATTTTATCCAAGACGATAGGCCTTTAGTGCGCAGCCAATCAGACTATTGGAATATGCATCTTTGACCGCCACTAGCTTTTAGATTGGGTTGGAATTTTTTACTATTTCTATATTCATCAAATTTTGTTGAACAAAGATTTTTCTTCCACACCTTTCAATTGTACAGAAAAATATGTGCGTTTTTTTTCTTCCAGTAAGTCAACTATATTTGTGAAGAAAAATTTAGATTCACTTGTGTCTTACAAATTCACATAATTTGATATGCGCATTGTTAAGAAATGCGATACTGATAAAGGCCCCATTAGTATAGTGGTTTGGAACAATTGCTCCCTTATGGAAGGTCATGGATTTGAATCATCGTGTAGTGTGTGTAAGTTTAGTGTGTTATGTCCTCTCTCAATAGAAAAGGTCTTCAAAAAAAAAATTACGAAACTGAAAAATTTAAAACTAAAAACTAAACGGTTATCACTCCTAAAGTTTTCTCCATTCTTACCATATGAATAGTAGACTAGAATGTAGTCTAGTAAGTAAGACTCCCTATCATCTCATCCCTATCTACTTTGGCTAAAAAGAAGGATAATTCTACTTCCAGCAGACTCCCTACTTGGTTCTCTATTTTGGTGAACCAACTTTTATCTCTCTACATTTAGCAAGGAGGAGAGAGATGGAGGCTCGCCAAATTGAAGAGAAAGAGAAAGAGAGAGAGAGAGAGAGGGAGAGACATTTGGGACAGTGGTGGGGTTGGGTTTCTACTTTTCTTTTTAATATATTTGATTTGCAAGAGAAAGAGAAAGAGAAAGAGAAACTAATAATAAAATATTTCAGATTAGCTAAAATAGAGAACATTGCTGAAGGAAACATCTTTTAAGTGATTTACTATAATAGCTATTTTAGTTAGAATTTGGCTAAAATTTGATGACTCTCCTAAAGATGCTCCGAGGCACCAAATACCAGCAATTGTAGATTAGGTCAGTTAGTTATATAAGTGTGCATGTTTTCTTACAACCAAGATCGAATTGCACTCCGATAAATTAGAACAATTCAAGGAAAAAAAAACCAAATCATATGTTTTCCAACAGGCTTGTTTTTCCTGACCCAATAGCTCGCTCAGTCCAAAATTTGGCCCATAAATCAAGAACAATCTCAACATATAAAACCCAATAATCTCCTGATGTGCTGGTTGTCTGCCAAACGTTGGATCACACACCACACGAAACGAAACATACAGCAACAGCAGAGATGAGACATGACGCCACGCCCCTCCTCCTCCTCCTCCTCCTCCTCCTTCTCGGTGTTTTCAAATTTTAAAAAATTGAACATATCCTTGAATGACCGCGCGTTTACAAAAGAAACACGACCCGCGTCTTTTTTATCATCAAAAATAGGCATTTATGTTCTCGGTGGGCACCCCATCCTTCCTCTGCGCGCCTTCAGCGGTAGAAAATGACCAAACCAACCCTGAATCGTACGACATCATGAAAATAGTTCAACTAAGATTCCGATGTCGTCTTCAATTTCAAAGCCTCTCTCTCCAAGACCTCCTGTCCTTATCATAACTGAAGGGGAACGCGAGAAGGCCTAGTGTTAGTATCGTAATTCAAAGCCTAGTTGAGGGGTAATTACGTAACATTTGAGAGAGAACAGGCTTTCAGTTTCCTAACAGACAAAGGCACACGCTATACAGCTAACAACCGAAGGGGAAAACATGACCAAATAACCAATAACCTCCCCTTTTCTCTCTCTAGGCCACTCTCACTAGTTCACTAGTTCACTAGTTCGTTGGCCCCGAAGAGAAAATGGAAGACGAGGCACAGGTGAAATTCCAAAAAGAACCTTTTTTTTCCTAACCACCACTACCACTGACGGCTCCACCACCGTCGCCGCCACTACACCTTCTCAATTTCAAGTCTTTGTTTTAAAAAATCAGTGTTTATTTGCTTATTCAATTTTTGTTTTGTTGACGATGCAGAAAATGGTGGCTCTGAAGAAGGCGTACGCGGAGATTATTCTGAACACAGCGAAGGAGGCAGCGGCCAGAGTAATGGCGTCGGAGCACAAAGCTCTTCGCTTTCAGCTCGATCTGCGTTCTACCAAAGACGAGTCGCTTCGCGTGCTTCTCCGCTTAAAGCAAATGATCGATTCCAAGGTTAGCTTTTTCTTTTTCGAATTTTGCATCCTCGAAAGTTTTGTTCTTTTGCTTTTTCTTTTACTAGTTTTTATGATCCGATTCTGGTCTTGTTTGGAAAGAGGGTTTCATGAATCTTGGTAATTGAGTTTGCATTGAATGTGAATGTGTTTTTTGTAATTGCATTCACTGTCGCGAAAGAAGCCATTTTTATTTTGAACTTTGAAGAAGCTTCACTTTGAAATTGTGTGTCTTTGCGTCTGCTGTTAAAGCAATTGCATTTCTGAACAGCAAGAAAGTGTTTCCATATGCTAATTACTAGTTATACAGTTATGCTGACAATGTTACCGTTCTGAATAAGCTTCTGCCATTTCTCTTTGTTAATGTTTACAGTGAACGTTAGCCCAAACATATTCACCATACTGTTTGGCTTAACCAATCTCCACATTTTGAAATTCCTGTGATATACCACTTGTGCCTTGTCTGGTATTGCTAGGAGGTTCTTTTGATTCTCTTTGTAATAAACCCATGTGCACATTGAATTATACAAGAGTGTCGTGTATAAGTTATGAAATTTCTACTGATTACTCACTCATTGTAGTTACCATAAGTGCCTGCTCTTATACTGCATTTACCAACATTTCAATTTGTACAGACAAGTGAAGCAGAGATAACATCCTCGAGCCAACAAAGAAGGATTGATGAGCTTGAAGCACAGCTCCAAGAGGCAGAGGATATCATAACTGATTTGAGATCAGAGTTGAAACAAGTATGGAGTGAGTTGGAGAGGGTAAATAGCAACCAAGTGAAGCCTTTGGATAGACAAATCACAAGGGAAGACGCATCATTTTCCGAAAGTCCAACACCTGAGCCCATCTTACTCTCTCGTCTAGGTTCAGGACATGAAATTGTTCCAACTTCTGGCCTGGACAACATCCCAGTGAGTAGAGGTATTGACCATAAATGCTGTAATGACATGAAACAAAGTGAGCAGTTGAGTGTTTCTGATTTGGATAAATTTTACGCCCCTGACTCTGACCTTGCGTCAATAATCATGGGAAGTAAAGAGCCTGAGCTGCTCAGAAATGGTTGTACACAAAGAATTCGTGCTTTTGAAAGAAATTTACTTGATGAAAAGGTGCTGCCTTCTGGATATGTAGACAATCACATTTCCCACGGGAAGAATGAGTTGGGCACCAAAGCAAGTGACAAGGAGGAAGGAAACTGCAATCCCCCCTCTATTAGGGACAACAGGATGGAAGTAATTAATAACCCATGTGTGGGAGAAACCAAAAAGCCTTCTAAAGTCCGCACATTAAGAAGACGAAAGACTCGATTTGGGAAAGCCAAAACCTCGAGCCAATATTGTCCTAGTGAGCTTATGAAATCTCGGCAACCAACTTCAGTCAATGAAAATGATAGATCCCATGAAGATGCATGCATCCAACCCTCTGTCAAAGCTGGCAATGTAGGCGTGACAAGAACTCCCGGTGGGTTGGAAGAAAGTTTGCAGCACAGTAGCCGTTGTTATACGGACGAAGTTAAGACCATTCGGAAGGGAAAAAGAAAAAGGAAAATGAATGGTAAGAATGGCATTACTACCTCAACTGGTCAGCTTACGAAACCTGGTCAGCCGTCTTCTGTTCTTTCACGCTGCAGGACTTTTGCCTATTTAGGTAATGGTGGTGTTAAATCATACGAAGATCGACCAAACACGACCCAGAATGAGGCAAGGATGAAGGCATTTCCCCGTCTGGATCATGGGTTGACATTAATTAGAAGTGATATGGATCCTATATCAGGGTCAACAAGTGTTACTGTGAGTATGAAGCAGATTAATGAAGCTGAAGCTGGCGAGAATGCTGCAGACAAGGACATGGAATTGATAGATGTGCCTGTGTTGATATTGCAGGAAAGTGATATTGTGGAGAATTCAGAGGCTCCAAGTTCTGAATTTGACCATGCTACTGCTGATCTATCATTGATGAATTCTGAACTAAAAGATGTAAATGTATCATTGATGAATTCTGAATCAAAAGATGTGAGAGTATCATTAATGAATTCTGAATTAAAAGACGTGAAAGCATCAGAAAAATCAAATAGATCTCCTAGTCATGCAGACAACGGTAGACTTCTCAAATACACTTTCCAGAGGAAGCGCAAGAATTCCTCAAGAAACCCTGGTCAAAAATCTTCTTTTGAAGGGAGCACTTCTAAGAGGAGGATGGAAGAGAGCGAATGCATTGTACAAGAGCCGCAGATGATGAACGAATCTTCTAGGGACAACCGGCGACTGGCTCAGGTTGCTCGACAGGTTGGTTTCCAACAATCCCTCTCTTAACTCCCTTAAATGTGACTGAAAAACTGAAATAACTTGACCTTATTTTGCATATCCGTGAAATTGTATTAGCACGCAAGGACGAAGATCACTTTGCACTGTCTTTAATTCAAATGACTAGAAAGATATTATATAGCTTTATTTCCCAGGGCTAGAACCATAACATGATTGCTGAAGACACATATATGTGCTTTAATATATGGTGGTGTTTATTAACCTTTTGTTTTATAAATTCACTGCCTAAATACTTGTTAAGTTACTGTTACGGGATGATTGAGATCTCTTCATCTTTTATTTGTTGGCAGCTCATATCCTTATCTGGGAAAAAATGGTCTTAACAATGATGGCTTCTGCTATCTAACGAGTGTTAAGTTGGATACGATGGACCATCGAACTGATTTTTGAGAGATGATTTTCCATAGAAATTGGACGAGCAGCTGGCTGCATTGCATCAGGGGAGAGAGTGAGTGAGAGAGAGATTTATAAATCTGCAGTAGTAAAATCTAAAAGTTGTTAGTTTTGATTACATAATGATATTCTATCTTACAATCTGATACAGTTGCTAAACCTGACAGGTTGACACCTCCCCATTCCTGTCAAAATTTCTCCTTTCGAATAGAAATGCTGCCTCTCTCACTTATCCTTTCCGGGTTTTCAGTAAGCTCTAGTTTGGTTCACATTTTTAGAAGTGAAGCATATTTCAAGCTGATGCTTATAATCTTGTTATTTCTCATTCATTCTCATAGCACAGCAAACGGTTCAAACGAGTCACCATGTAAACAAATCATTTTTATAGAAGAAATAAGACAATTCACAGAATGAATTTAACAAATAATAACCATTACCGTTTCAAATGAATGCTATGCGTATCTATTGTTTTCGATGGGATAGTGAATTGTGTAATTTCTGAAAATCTGAGTCATTTTTGAAAGATTTTATTTTGATACCATTTAATGTAAGATACTTGACTTGATTCTTTAGCCCCACCAAAAAAAAAGGAAAATGCTAGGGAGACCAACTTGGGATACCAACTCTCTAATAGAGCGTGGGACCCATTGTATTGGTGGGCTCCCCCTCTATTAGAGAGTTGGTACCCAAGTTGGTCTCCCAAGTTGGTCTCCCTAGCATGACCCAAAAAAAAGAAAGTGAAATCTGAAGCAATGTCGCGTGACACCAACAGGGTTTGCTCACAGCACTAGACTCTGGTTATTGCATTTGAATGAAACTTAGACATTGAGAACAAAAGGGTTACTGTTTCAACATCAAAGGACCTGTAGCCTGTAGATTTCAAATCTCTTCTTTTTATGAAAAATTGGATTGGATTACGCAGAAACCCAAAAGAACCAAAAGAATGATTCTCTGTTTTAACTGATTCCTCTGCTGCTGCCGCTGGTGATGTAATTTCGGCATGTGGGGTCATTTTCTGATGATGAATTGCATCAAACAGCAAACAGGCGTGCTTTTTCGAGCATCACTTCTAATTTCATTGCCCCTCTATCATGCGGCAAATTCTGCTTTTCCAATTTTCCATTCAAGTAAAAAGGCATGCGGCTTTAATTTGGTACGATATTCCTTCCTACTCTCCTATGCAGAACAGAACAACTGTCGCCTCAAATCATACAAGTCCATTAAATCTTTGAACTTTTTTACCTATACAATTAGTGCTACTTTTAACTGCCAAGCAGGAAATGTAACAAAATCAATAGACCCAGTCCCAAAGTAATGACCTTTGTTAATTGGGCAAGCAGGAATTTAAATTTTAAGCCAAACCCGATTGCCCAAAATCCAAAGTTGGAGAAATCATATCATATGAGTTGCAGGTTGCTGATGAAGTATTGGACTGATGCTACAAAGCCTGCAGGCTTTGGTGAATTTATGTCTAGCTGTCTCCCCAAGCAGCTTGACGTCTCTCTGATCATCACAGCTGGTCCGTGATACAGTGAAGCGCACTCACAAATCCCACAAAATCCGTTGCTTTTCAGTGAACCCCAAGTATCCACTGGAAATCTCATTCCCCCGTTCTATAAAAACCCAACAGAGATCACCACCATTTTCATTAGGCATGTAAATTTGTAACATCCAGAGATAAAATTCACAAAATGGAGATGGGAAAAGAGAGTGGGAGAGTAACAAAGGAGAGAGAGCTTCAAGAGTATATTGTGCACACAGTTTTGTTCACTGCAGGAGCAGCTGTGTTAATGGCGTGTGTAAATCGTGTTATATTAATGGTGTTTCTCATGGAGCAATGGCGGGCATGGGTTTTCCTTGTGCTCAACCTCATCCTCTTAGCCATTGTCCTCACTCCCATTTCTTCCACCTCAAATTTTGATCAAAACCAACAATGCAGCAGCAATGCAGAAGTGATCGAGAATATTGAACGGAAAAAGAAGAGAAGGGAATATTACAGGTGCCCGTCATCTGAACAAGCAGTTGAAGAAGTTAAAGAATGTGATGAAGAAATATGTAAGAAGAGATCGACGAGTGTCGAGAATGAGGAAGAGGGGTTTGAAGACCAGACAGAGGAGGTTTCCAAGGAGGCCCTGAATGAGAGAGTGGAAGCTTTCATTGTGATGTTCAGGCAGCATTTGGTGTCGGATGCAAGAAATGAATCAAGGTGGAAACAAGTTCTCTGAGAGGCGCAAATTTGTTGATCAGCATTCTGATCTTGAAAACTTATAATTCGTAGGTAGTCTTAAAGGAGTTTTGAGTGTATTCAACTTTTGGTTTGGTGTCTTGATCTATATTGTCAAAATTTGGCGTTAAAGTTCATTTTGATGCCCAAAAGTTCAAATTTTAGTCTTGGTTCCACTCTGTATCTGAATAAACAAACTGAATCTTGGTTCCACTCTGTATCTGAATAAACAAACTGAATCTTGGTTCCACTCTGTATCTGAATAAACAAACTGAATCTTGGTTCCACTCTGTATCTTTTGACTAACTTCTTAATTCCCTTTGACATATTTGGATAAAACTTTCCCAACTTGGGTTTTTTTTGTTTTTTTGGATATAAGGAAGTTTACATCGCGTGCAAAGGGTAACTATTTTTAATCATATGAGTTATAAGCCCCTCGTCCAAAAACCCCGGTTGTTTAACTCTACTACTAATCTAAAACGTATAAATATTTTTTTGGTTTTCTGAAGGAACCTTTCGACCAAGAAAAATAAGCAAGCAATTGTGACGGTGTACCCTCTTGAATGCCCTTATGGAGGGAGGGGACCCCAAGCCTACATTGTTGTGGGGTAGCAGCAATAACAATCATATGAAGATTGAGGGGTAGGGCAATATTGTCATTTCACGGGTAATGATGTGAACATGAAGCAAATGGTCCCAAGGAGGGTTGAAGCTTCTTTATCTCATTATAGTTTGAGGTTGAAAGGTATCCGTAAAGACTCAAATCGCATCTACTTCTCCCGCTAGAATGTCTCGACCCATGAAAACAACACAATTTAATTCATTAATATGTCACAGAGCCCTAGTCCAAATCAAGCCCCGGAATTGAGAGAAAACAGAAGGGGGTCTCTTTTTGGGTCCATGTATATACTTTTATTTATTTATTTATTCTGCGTTATTGAAACCATAGACGTTCTTGCTTTTCCTCTTTATTTTTTTGTTGTCACGCTCACGGTGTATTTCATGTGCTCATGCAATAAATCCAAACCTATAGCAGCTGGTGCCATTACTGCAACGGGCCAACATTATCCATGGCATCACATGGACTGATGGTGTGATGATTTTATCAAGAGTTGGGAAAGCAACTTATCATACATAAACCCCAAGCGGTGAGGTCCAAATTAGTACTAATCCACCTCTATTCAATCAATCAATGAAGAGTGGTTGGTGCAAATGGATTCACCATCGAGAGAGCCGTTGATAGAAGTGGGTTCCAAAATACATCAACGACTAGCTTGAATGAACTAATTGTCACCTAAAATTCACAAGACGAATGTGACAAGCACCAACCAAGCAACCCTAATCATCAAGCAAAGGGGACGTAGAACTTAATCTTTTTCATAGATACACTAATTCCTAGCCATATTTGACTATATGTAGTGTAGGGTATGCCTTCTCTCTTGGGGTTGCCGCTGGAGCCATAGTTTGTATGACCTTCTTGTGTTTGTCTCTTTCTAGGCTTTCAATTGCTTTCGCATAAGGCGGTAGATACAATGATTTTTACAGCTAAATCCACGTTTTGTTTTTGTGTCCGGTACAGCAAATGGAACCAGATCAGCCATGCTAGGAGGTGAACAGCTTTCGTCTGATCAGCAAGATACAGGAAGTTGCACAAAGCCTGTCCACAAAGTGCTCTATCTTTTTGTAATTGTTGCATGGACTTACGAGACCCTGCTGTAATTAGCCATGGACAGCGAGGATCATAATCCAAGAAGACGGTTCAGAAAGTGGTTCAAAGGAAACCACAAGAGAGCCGACCCTTATCAACTGAGTCAAGTTTCAGGTTTTGTTATTTCTACCTATGGAGTTCTTTTTTTCTTCTTCTTCTTCCTCCTCGTCTTCTCTCCATAGCATTCGATCCAGACTCAACTGTTTGTTTGATTACTGGATTTATTTTTGTTTCTTCAGATGGGGGTGAAGACGAAAGTGAAGATTACTTGGATGATATTCTCTTTCAGTCCATGGAGATGGATCCATGCACTTCAACTAATGAGTTGAGGTAATTTGTTAAAAGAAGAAAAAATCTCAAAGGGAATTAAGCATAATGGATTTTTAACATATTGGTATATATTTTTCAGAGTCTTTGTGGGGACTTGGAATGTTGCTGGAAGGTCTCCCATAGGAAGCTTGGCGGTGGATTTGGATGAGTGGTTGAATCTTAAGGATGCGGCAGACATGTATGTTCTTGGGTATGTTATAAACCTGGACTTCATTAATAGTGTTCATAATTTCTTAATTTTTTCTCTAATTGATATGAGAAATTAATATAAACCAATGCCACAACTTAGCAAT